TATAAAATGAAAAAATGATTTTGAAATTCCTTTATAAACCTATGTTTAACAATGATATCCTAGCTTCTGTTATAGAAGAGAGAAAGATGATAGCCAAAAGATGTGAAATGTGTGTATTGCTAAATCAAAAAAGTCAAATATAAAATTCTTTTATTTGTAGTGGCTTCTAAAAAGTTGTCATTTTTCCTTTTTATTCTTCATGCCTATACTTTAGAGTACTAAAAAATAATAATTGCTCAAATTTTGCTTACTTTGGAACAAGATGGCCCAAAATATCCAATCCACAATGAAACTTGACATCAATTGTAATAAAGACAGAGCCCAAATTTGAGTGTTTGATCCTACAATCAACAAATCAAAGGCAGTGTAAAAGTGGCTTTGAACACAGCAACAGTTTTGGATGTATGCCAAATCCTATGAACTATGCAAGTATCATTTGGGCTGACTAACTCTCATTTCTAATTTTTGAAAAATTCTTTAAAATAAATAAATAAATAAATAAATAACTAAACTAAACTAAACTAAAAAATTTAAAACTAAAAATGGTAACTAATAAAATTTTAAAAATAATAAAATAGTAAAATAAAATATTATCGTAAAAATAAATATTATATTAAAATTATAAATAATAAAATTTAAAAATCCAGTTTTTTACACACAACTTCAGTCCAACTCACATTTCACCACTCCAACAACATATCCAAACATCAAACCACAAAAAAAGAAAAAACAAAGAACAAATAAAGTTAAAAAGCTAAACAGAAACACAAAAACAAAGCACTATATCATAAAAACAATTGATTCAATGCAACATTAGTGTGAAAAGCTTTATAAAAAATAAAAAAATTACATTCTGCATTCATGCAACATCTAAAATAAAATCCTACATACAATCTAATTTCACACACACACATACAACCTAACAGTATTTTTTTTGAAAATAAAAAAATCTAAAAATCCAATTTTACGCACCCAATTTTAGTCCAACCCACATTTCACCAGTCCAACAATAAATCCAAATATCAAAAAAACAAAAAAAAACAAAAAAAAACAAAACAAAACAAAACAAAAAACAAACAACAAAGATAATCCAGTTTCTCTCACACACACACATACAACTCAATAGTATACAGATAGATTATGTTAATATAGAATATGTCATAGAAGCATGGAATCTTTTTACAAATGTGGCTTGAGCACCATGCTTTCTCAATTGGATTTGATTGTTTGCTTCAATAAAGCTTAGGAAATGGGCTAAAATCACTAAAATACATATCAATTTCACCTGTTATTATACACAATGTGCTTACAAAAACCAGATCTAGGTTTTTTGCTACTCACCATAGCATTTTAGTAATATCTCAGCAATATATTTCAGCAATATATTTAAGTAATATTTTCACCACATCATAAAATATTCTTGAGATGGGTTCCAAGGATATCATAAAATCTCACACTTAATACAACACTCTTTCAGTCCATCACGAATCCAAGCATCAATATTATAAAATATTCGTTGGTTTACTTACAAAAACCAGGTCTAGGTTTTTTGCTACTTACTGCAGCAATTCAACAATATCTCAACAATATATTTCACCGCAATTCTCATCACAATATTTTAGCAATATTTTCACCATATCATAAAATATTCTTAAGATGGGTTCCAAAGATATCATAAAACCTCATACTTAATACAATGCTCTTTCAATCCATCACAAATCCAAGCATTAAATATTCGTTGGTTTGTTGGATAGAATTAGAACTTCAGCCTCCTCAAAGAAATATGTGTGCATCTTAAAGTTGATTATAGTTCCTAATCCCCAATATTTTTGAGCAACAAGATGGTAAGCCCATGTTGTTGCTTCTTCCTCATTGTAAGTCCCTGGTAGGATAACAAAGAAACTTAAGTCCACAATCACAACCTCCCAAAAGTATTTCAAACTAATCCACAATGAAATTCTTTTGAAATTCTGAATGTAAAGCACAATGATAATTTGTAATTCATAAATTCAACAAAACACCAATGTTTGAAGGAAAGAAAAGAAAAAGAAAATTTGACAAACTTTAGTGTTGTCCAAAAAATTGTAATTTGTATATAGTATAAATTCAAACAACTTGCTGAGCCTTCGTTGATGTATTGTATTTGCGCAAGCTAGATGTGGATTGAAAATTATCAAGATATACACAAAACACACTGTTCTTATCCAAAACACACAACTTAAATATATGCTAAGCCTTACCCGATGTATTTGCCTTTCCAGTGTCTATATGATTACAGTATGAAGTGCATAAATTTGAGGAGGAAAAAATTAGTGTGAAATGCCATGAAAATCACCCTATAGAACTCCTTGATCGACTGTAAAATGGGTTTTGAAATCCACAAAACATGAACCTTTTTGATGAAAACAAAAGCCCATCCATACAGTGAAGGAGAGCCACCACTTGTCTCCTTGAGCAATCTTAATATATAGATTTACATAAATAAATAAATAAATGTATATATATATATATATATATATATATATGTGTGTAATTTTATAGCAAAATAAATATTTCTTTTTTCTATTAAAATTGTAATAATTACTTAATTTTTTAAAATAAAATAATAAAAATAAATAATATATAATTTATAAAATAGAAACTAATATATATTATCATAGTATTATACTATCAAGTGTTTAATAAATTAAATTTTTTTAATTAAAAATATTATTTAAAAATAAATATATATATATATATATATAATCATCATCATCATCTTTATTATAAATATTATATTTATTGCTTTTGGTAATAAATGTATAATTTATTATTTCAAAATTTATTACATAAATCATAAATTTATTGTATAAAACGTAATAAATATTTATCTTATATATATAGGATGATTTTTTTATATTTATATCATTAGACATATATACCTTATAAATTTTAGATATTTTTTGTTATTTAAATAAAATATTTAATATTTACTTAGATAGATGTATAAAAAATGTTACAACAATTGTATCTTTTACTTGTAAAGATTGTAGTTGGTTATATGTACTAATAATATTTAAGAGTAATATTTTTTAAAAAATATACAATCAAGTATTGTTAATTATTATTTATTATTTAATGTTCATAAATATCTTACTATCATGAGTTAATTTTAAAAAACCACATATATGTATGTATTATTTTTCCACTGTAATTACATATAATAATATTATTGATAACATAAATTATTTTATTTAACTTTAAAACTTTAAGTTTTTTGGATCTATACATTAATATATTATACATACCTTTAAAATGACAAAAAATCAATTATTAGGATTATAATAGTCCAAATTTGAGTTTTTCCAGCTCTGTAATAAAAGATCATGGCAATCTTCTAATCAAATAAAAGCCCCTCATTGAAATCATCAAGTCTTTTAGACTTACAATAAGAAAATAGATATTTTTTATACTTATATTATCACATTAATATTAAGAATTTTTTTTTAAATAATTATGAAAAATGAAAAAAGTGAATATACATGCCTTTTAGAATATTCACACATGCAATTATTTGAAGTTTTGCTCTTTATAATATGTTAAAAGATTGTCACAAAAAGCAACCATGATTGTGTGAGATTTAGAAATATCAATTCTATCATGGCCAAACTTTCAAATCTCTACATTGTACAACAAATAATTGTACTAAATTAATGTATTTGGTAATATTATATAGCTTCTTATTGGCTATATCTAATGTAAATTTGATAATATGCAGCAATCAAAAATCTAATAAAGAAATATATATATATATATATATATGTTTTTTTAAATCCACTTTACAATAAAATATAAAAAAATCTTATGGCTTTAAATTAAAACTATTTTAAATTTGTTTTATTAAAAAATTAAAATCTTACAACATTTTTTTATGTTAATAAAGTTTAAAAGATCCTTAGTATTCTTTGTATTAAAATTTCTAAAAATATTTTTTTATTACATTTTTTTTTTATTGATATTTCTTATTTATAATTTCCTTGTAGAAATTTCATGTTGAAAAAAAACAAACAAACAAACAAACTAGTAAACCTACATAGGAATAGTGATTGTGGATAAACTAACAAAATGTGAGAAAAATGTGCACAAAGGTGAAAGTAGACCACTAACATAATCAAATTATAAGGTCATATCATTGAATATTAAAAAATATTAATAACTTAGTGAAACTTTATTAATAAATTTTTCTATACTAACCATACTACTTTTAATTTTCTTGATGCAATATGGTTAAATATAAAAAATAAAAAGTTAAAAAGTCTTAATTTATTTTTAAAAAGCAGCTATTCCTTGATCTCACCAATTCATTCTTTTGTACAGTCTTAGGATTATACACATATCTTTTTTTTACAAAAATCATTAATTTTTAAGGTCATTATAAAAATATTTATTAAAATTTCATCATACTATTATGGACATATATTTCTTGATACAACTCCAAATAACATATTTAAATATTCTGTTGTGTTATATTTATATATATACAAAAAAAATCTTCACTTTGCATATTGTCATTGGATATTAAAAAATTATAAAAAAATTAGTTAAAAGAAATTTTACATATATGTGTATATATATATATATATATATATATATATATTTAAAAAAAAAAATTTCTTATTTTCTTATGCTAGGAAAATGAAAGGGTGTAAGTGATGAGATATAAACTCCACCTACTTCCAAGAGTTGACATAAGCCAATGCCCCCCCCCCCAATGAGCATTCATTGAGAGAATGAGCTCATGAAATGGATGATACCACTCACCATTCATCCACGAGAGAGGAGGCTTATTACGAACGAATACTTCGGATGAATGAACAAGCGACGAATAACGATGAACGAAAAGCATGTTCCCTCGACATGTGCCCACGAAACGAGGAACGTGGCCGTGGGTGGGGACGGAGGGACCAAGGGGGAGGGAATATTCTCGGAAAATGCCCCCCTCCCGAGTAGGAGCCGCCCTCTACATCCTCTCTCACTCACTGCAAGCAATTGTGTGCAGCAATTGTGAGGAGGATTGTTGCTTTGCATTGCATTGCAGACCAGGTTTAGGGTGTAGGTCACTTGATTCTCTCTCGCTCTCACTCTCTCTGCCAGACCCAGTTCAATCACCTTTCGTGTTCCTCATTTATCACAATTCCTGTTTCGATGCCTTTTTGGCTTCGTTCTCCAGACACAGTACAATCTCGGGTTTGATGCTTGTGATTAGGGTTTGTGAATGCGATGGTAGTTTCAGAACTGGGATTTTGCGAATCGGAGATGGAAGTTTTGTAGCAGAGGCTCCGTGTCTGGTTGTGCGGTTGAGGGGTACAAGCTACAATACGGTTTTTTGAGTTTTCTGATTTCTGTTTTCTTTTTTCTTTTCTTTTTTTCTTTTTTTTTTTTTTTTTTTGAGGGAATTGGATTTCCAAGTAAAAGGGGGTGGTGGGGAGGAGAGCCATGGCGATGCAGGCGAGCCTTGGAGCCACTAGGTTTGTGATTCTGGTTGGAGCGGGTCTTGCGGGATCGGTGCTGATTAAGAACAACAAGCTCGGTGACTTTCTCGGAGACCTTTCTAGGGTATAGCCACTGAGAATCTTCACCTGTTTTGTTTTAGACGTGAGTTATCTGAATCGTAGTTGGTTTCCTTCACCCCTTTTTATGTGAGACTCTGTAATTAGGGTTTTGTAGACCCAACCTTCACTCCAGTAGCAATTTAGTCGCATTACTCTGGAAGGCTCTAGGCTTCGCTATTTCTGTGATTGTAACAATATTGAATAGGTGTTAAGCAATCTTCAAATTGGTGTTGTGTTTGATTGACACAACATGTGGGGTCTTATGATTTCTCCCTTTGCAAGGATTTCTGAGCTTGAAAACTTTGTTTGTGTCAGTCTGCGCGAGGTGTTCAATCTACTTGCATTCACCTATTATCTGTTGATTATACGTGTTTTTTTGTTGAGTTCTATACATCTTGTAATCGTTCTCAATCACGGCAATGTGCCCTTGTCAGGTTTTGTCGAAGCATTTTAAAGAGGGAGAGAATGGAGATGGGAGAGCAAGCGATGCGGCCCTTCATCTGCAGGTCCGGAAACTTACACAAGAATTGCGTAATCTAGCGTCTTCCTCTGGGACTGTGACCGTCGTGCAAACCGGTTCTGGCTCAGGAATTTCGATCACGTCATTCATCTTGCCAGCTGCCATGGTTGGGGCTGCAAGTTATGGTTACATATGGTGGAAAGGCTTCTCGTTTAGTGACATAATGTATGTGACGAGGAAGAGCATGAACAATGCTGTGGCAGGAGTAGGCAAACAACTAGAACATGTCTCTGCCGCGCTTTCGTCAACTAGGAAGCATATGAACCAAAGGCTGGACGATGTGAGCAACAAGCTCAACGATAGTGTAGTCATTACAGGGTTAATCAAGGATCAGGTGGAAGAGGTGAAAGGCACGGTTGAGAGAAGTATTTACGAAATCGAGAACGTCAACCGTAAAATGGAGGGGCTAGGGTTGAAGATTGACGAGGTTCAGGAGAGCCAGAATTTTGCCAATCAAGGTATTTACTTGTTGATTGAGTGGGTGCATCGTCTTAACCTCGTCGGTCCCGCGCAGCATCCAGAGCTTGCGCAGAGCTTCCAATCATGGTACTTGAAAGCCAATAGCTTGGAAAGATCCTCATCATCTCCTGCTGCCATTACTCCCCCGGGTCTGAAGCAGTTTTTCTCACAGACCCTGGAACCCCTGCCCGTGCCGCCGTCGAATGGTAACTTTGGTGAGGTGACACCCTTGAGGAACACTGGCGAGTCTAGACCAGCTGGCTTGAATATGCCCAGCCCTGGCTTGGGATTGTCCAGCAATTCGACTCCGAGCACTGGCAATTCAAGGACGTTGTCTGCATCCGTTGTATCATGGTCGTCTCTCCGGCGGAACTCTGGTCTTTCCGGCTTTTATGGTTAGCCCAGCATCAATTTTAAATCATAATTTGTTTCGAGAGGGTGTATATCTTGAGCTTTAGTTTACAGCAATTTTTCTCCGTCTTGATTTTGCAGGATAGTTACACATCTCTTCCCATTTCTTCTTTTAGTTTCTCACAGGAAGTAAAAATATCAAAAAATATTATCTCAATTAAGCAGCGGGTGGAGAATTTCTCTTCTTTACGGACCTTAATTCTCTTTTTCTGGGTTTTAGTTTCAGAAGAATTTGAATGTACCAGTCTTGTATTAGACGTAGATTTCTCCCTTGTCCCCAAGTGCTGGATTGAATTTTTCTAAGTGGCATTGGTCTAGAAGAATGTGACTTCCATTAAAGGTCAGCAGAATTTTCAGGAGGTTCTGTCTGTGGACATAGTTCTCCTATGATTAAGGTATGTACAATGACACACATTGCGAGAAGGATATGTTGCAGTTTGTGCAACTGATCAACCGTGAATCTTACCAATGCTCACAGATCTGGTGTAAATTTATACTAGTGCTTGTACATTGGCATGCTTGCTTCTCATCAATGCTAAGGAAGCACCATCTTTCGTCACAGCTGAGCTTAGTTAAATTTTTAATTTATGGGTCCAATTTGAAACTTTAAGCTTAACTTCAAGAAGACTTGAAAGCAATTATGCAGCTAGAATAAAAAAAACATCAGTTGATTATAACTATGTAGATCTTAATCGTTTCTTCTGTAGTTTCTCTTGGTTTCTCATTGTTTCTCATGTCAGTTCAAATCTAGAGTCGCGTATTGTATTCAGTGGCACAAATTTGTAAGGCATTACACGCACGCACGCACACGCACACATCTTAATTTTGTGCATTATATGGTGTGGTACATATTATTTGAATTCTATGTAAAACACTTCTTTTTTATCTCAAAATTTCATGTATTTCAATAATTAACAATAATTTTAATTATGTTATTTTATTGAGAGACAAGAATTTATTTCTTTCAAATTATTTTTTCATATTAAACTAGAATGGAAATTTTCGAGAATTATAAAAACACTTTAGAATAGAAATTTTATTCCACATTGGTAATAATAAATCCTAATTGTTTTATCTTACAGACTGTGAATTTAGTTCTTAAATATAATTTCTTAATATACTATTTGTGATTTTTCTTTTTCTTTTTTTCTTTTTTCTTGTTGTATTGGTGCATATATAAACTAAAAAAAAGTAATTTAAATTTTAAACTGAAAATAGAATACGGATTAATTTACTTTTTTTGATGTAGCTTTAATATAAAAAATTTAAAAGATTTATATGGAGTCTCAAAATTCTAAACTTGAACTTTATTTGATGCATTAACCACATCAATAGTCACAAAAATTGCCATATTACATGCGTTTTTAATATAAAGTAGGACCACTTGACATCAAATACATCCTAGATATGAACAAATTTAGTATGGACATTTTCAAGAAGATGGTCAAACATTGGTTATATTGTTGTAAGTTAGAAGAGTTGAAAATTGAAATATCATGTTTCAATGAATTTTTCAAGATTATAATTTAAATTAGATTATAAAACTATATTTATGGAATCATTAGTCTTTGAACTTGTCAAAGTCTCAATGGCAACCATAACTTTATTTTGATTTTAATTAGAATTAAAAAAAAAAAAAAAAAAAATCTAAAACTTGCATAGATTTTTTTTTTTTAATATGATTTGTATAATATTAAAGAATATTATTATACATGATTAAAGTCAATTGAGTTTAAACATGACTATTCAAACATTATGCAATCAAAGTTTTAATATACCTTATTTATGTTTTACAAGAAAGAAATAATTTTATACAAAATTTACAATTATTCTTAGGTAAGAAGAATCTAGAACCATTTCACAAATGTTCTATACAAATTGGCTTCAAATACAAAAACGTGGAGATCTTAGAAGGCTATTTTGTGATTAAAAAAAAAAAAAAAAAAAAAAAAAAAAATCTTATTGATATCTTGTCTAAATTTATATATTTTATTATTTCATTGTTATTATTTTTGAAATGATGTCTACAGACTATTTGAATCCTAATTCTAAATAACTATTAGTCTAAAGTCTATACACTATTATAATATATAGTGTATAGTCTATGGTGTTTAGTATACATAGTATTGTAATATTATAGTGTATAGTGTATATAATGTGTATAATGTCTATTCACATCAGTACACATCAGTCTATACACTATTTTACTACAGACTAATAGTGTATAGACTATAGATTCAAATAGATTCAAGTAGTCTATACACGTTACAAAGCGTGCCAACTATTCCATTCAAATAAGCCAAACAACGAGATGTTTCAGGCTCCATTTTGTGTAAATTCTGTTATATCTTGTTGTAGAGGATGATCTCAACCAAATCGTCAATGCGAGGTTAGAATTTCAAAGCTCGTCCAGGAGTGTGAGACTATATATATATATATATATATATACATATATATATAATTTTATAGCAATATGTGTGTAGGTGTGATCCATCAATGTGGGAATCTGTGGGTGTACGAAGCACTGCATGGATGTGAGCTTCGTCACAGGATTCACAAAGTGTCCCAGTCTGCGATGGTGTGTCGTAATGCCGAAGACTAGCTACAGAACCACAAACTGTGTGCTACTTTATTGCCACTGGGGACGAATTGATCACGCTAATCGGTGCTCACCCAACGAGTTTGGAAGAGTGTCCCCAGTCGTGCCGCGTTCGACAGGAGATTCGACTCGACGACCTTCGAGGGGGCGCGACCACTGGAAACTATCTGCTTTGCTGGCGATGCTGGATTCGCAGAGAGCACCAGCGAGCATCCACGGAGGCAAATCTGAACACTTGCCGTGAAGAAATCGTACGAAACACGAATTTGTGGGTGATCCTTTTCAGTGGATCTTAGCTGTAAATGATTCTCCAGCGTTCATACCATACAGGCTACCATCATGCCAGTAGGGGAAGCCTATCGATGTGATTACATCGTATTTAAGTTTAACTCAGGCATCCAGACACTTAGAAAACAAGCGCGAACACCATTGCTGTGGCCAATTTCTGCTTGGGAGTGGTCAGCATCAAAGTCCAGTGCACTGCAGCAGATTCAGAGCGAGCGTACATGCATTCGACGTTGACATCGATGGGTAAACACGTAGCCGCTGTCTCGTCGCTTGCCCAGTGTAAATTACTGGTGTTCGCAGTGTACTTCTGCATGATGCAAACGTTGCATGTTGCACCGTTCATGTCGCAGGTCGCACCGTCTGAGGTGCCCATTTTATCCGGTGAGAGCTCCACACCAATGACCTCATTCGGAAGCTCTGGACCAAAACAGATTGTTCTGTTGGAATGCTTTGGATTGAAGTGCCGGTTGTTGAAATAGCCGGTGTGTTAGATTGAATTGCTGCTTCGAGATGGTGGCCGCACTGGTATCAACAGCTGGATCGCTGATGTTTGCTCCCAATCGTGTTCTATTGTTTGCAGTTTTGGCAATTGAACATATCAAGTCAACCATGAATTTGCTTGAGTGGAGTGGAGATCCGTGTGTTCCACATTCTTGGCTATCATGCACTACCTAAACAACGCAGCCACCTCCAGTGGAACTCCTGTAACTAAACTCTCAACTGTACACTATTGAACCTGCAACATTCATAGTGAAGATTGGTCACTGGCCAGCACATTACACTGTTAACATCTGTGGATTATGAGACCAAAAGATGTGGCATTGGTGGGGTGGGTTGTGCAAGAATCTGACAGGATATAATTTGCAAGGGTCTGTTCCCCTCGCCTTGAATGAACTGAACATCATCAGTTTGTAAGTTGAATTGATAGATTGAATGCAAACGATGATCCAATGCTTCTGAACAATTTGGATTACGAGATTGCCATTTGCACTGATAAACTATTGTTTGTGGGAGAATATGTGACGATTGAAAATGGAGGTGCAGATTCCTGAACAACAACTCTTTGAATGGATCATTACCGGACTTGAGCAAGTTAAAGAGATTAGAAAAGTTGTAAGTGCAAATTACATCATAGTGCGCTTTAGTCCATTGATTCTACCTGAATTAGAAGATCAGAAAACAGTGCTTGTGATGACATAGTTTATTAGTACATTGAGTTTTATTGTTATTGTAATTTTTTTTTTTTTTGTATGTTGGATCTCATTTTGACGTATGGAAACAAATGTTTTGAATGAGTAGAAAGTGCATATTGTGTTGTTTGGTTTGCTTTGCATAGGCATTTGCACTACAACCAATTAAGTGAACCACTTCCAAATTGGCTCGAGTCTTTGACAAATTTTATTTCTTTAATGCTCCAGGCTTTCAATTCTTATTTTAAACCTTAGTAATGAAATTTCAAAAACTACAAGTTTGATTTACAATCTAATTAAAAGTGGTGATGATTTGTGTATGTTTATTCAAAACAACAACTTCAGTGGTGTGATTCCAAAAAATCTTATTAATAGATCTTTGATATTCTATGTAATTTTTAATCATTTATATGTTCTTCATATTATATATATATATATATATATATATATATATGCACTTATTTTTCAATTGGAATTTATACCTTTGTTAACATAAATATATATATATATATATATATATATATATATATATATATATACATATATTTGTTTATTTATTTTAAATTTTAATTCAAAATAAAATATTTTTTATTATTATTATTTTATTAAACTTTGTTATATTTGTGAATTCTAATAGAAAGTAAAAACCTTATTGTCTATGGCAGGTATCAAGCAGGAAATGATTTGTTGGTAATAGAAAATTCTACAGATAAAAATAAAAATATATGCACAAAGTCAATCAACCAAATTTCTTACATCTTTGTTCTTATTATTTTTTTGAAAATTTATAGCATATAAATAAATATTTTTTTTTAAAATATATTATTATGGTTCCAAAAATATTATATTGAGAATATAAAGTTTACAAAGCTATGACTGAATTTTGTTTGCAAGATGATCTTTGCATTTAAGAAGATAAGAATGGATTCTATTGAGGCTCTTAGCCTCAAATGGCTTGGTCTTAATAGAAGAGAAAATCAAAAGTATTCTCTATATAATTTGATCACACTAACATAAGAGGGCTTTCTTAATGTGATTCCACTAGAGTATTGTTAACATTTATCATTTCTTCAAGTTTATTACTACCTTTTATTTATAGCAGCTATCTACCAATATTGTATAATTTGAAGACCATTACAAAGTAATTTTACAATTATTTTAATTTGTACAACTATTCTAACTACAACTAGCAAAACTAAAACTAAAACTATAAGGATTAACTAACTAAAATTTATATATATATATATATATATATATATATATATATTTTAAAATCAAATATTTTTGTTTACCTTTAGTTCCTCCAATATAAACAAGAACCAAATCAAATTGAAGAAAGATATGTCTTGTATTAAGCTATTATTTCTTTAATTTGATTTGATGTTGAGTCACAAAAAGAGAAATTCTTTTGAAGTCATCATAAGTCTAAGAAAAAAAAAATGTTCTTAAATTCATAAATAAAAGCCACCAAAGTTTAGTTCAAATTTTAGATTCATTTTTAAGAACTTGGAGTTGTTTTTAATCTTAATATTGATCTTTTGAACTTGCTTAGATTTTGAAAGAACTATAAAATAATTAAAAATATATATATATATATATATATATATATATATCTTATAAAAAGTATAAATTCAATTGATATGGATGTTAACAACAAATAGTCTTTATCCAAAGGCAATAGAAAAAATTATTGTAGAAAAGAAATTAAAACTTCAATAATTTGATACACATTTTAATTTTTTAGAAATTTTTAGACTTATTGAACCTTGAGCAAAATCAACATCTAAGTTTTTGGCTAAAGAGACAAGGATTTACGAACATTGGCTTCAACCATCTAAAAAAAGAAAAAATAAAACGTTAGGTAAAGATTATGTAGTTAAATAGTTAATTGTGCAGACCATTATTTATTACAAAGTTAATAAAGATGCTTGATTGTACATAATTTAACAAAGTATTATATCAAAATCTAAAAGTGGTTGTCTTTAAAATAAAAAAATTACTTTAAAAATCATTAACTTTAATTAAAATATCACTTAAATAATAAATAAAAAATATAATATAATATATATATATATATATATATCATTTAAATAAGGTAGTTTTTAAAAAGTATATGAACTTAGAAGAAATATTTATATTTTTTAAACCAAAAAGATATAAAAAAAGAAATATATTACTAAATATCTAAATCAATTGTAGTAAATACAATAAGAAACAAATATAAAAATAAGAATCTTTACAAAATAGAAAACCACACAACAAGTAGAGGCTTGAAGCTACATATAGAAAAAACTTGGCCACGAGAATTAAAATAAAGCTGAAAATATATATATATATATATATTGTTTAAGAATCTCTTAAATATAGGAAAAACACCAATACATGCTCCATATGATACAATACTATAAAAAAATCAATACTTCAAAACAATTTTTGTATAATAGCTATTAATGTCTACATCTTTTTTTAGACTTATTTTAACTAATGTTAAGGATAAATTATAGAAACTAAACTTCAATTTTTCTTTATGTGAATCATTTGACAAAAGACATGTATTATGTATTGCCTTTGATAAAGTTGTTTTTATTTGCTAGAGAAATTCTTGATCACTCCATTTTTTTTAATTATGTCCATTTTGAGAAAAATAATTCAAAGTTTGAACTTGAAATACACACTGAGAGTGAAAACAATATACAACTTGACGTTTGATATAAACAAGTATAACCATTTTATATCTTGTAACAAACATTTGATTCAAAATCTTTTTTATAATTTTGCATAACAACTATCTTTCAATACCAACATTGTATAGGTGCTTGTTTATACAACTCCAAAACTAATTGTGGCTATATGTGACAATGTAATTCATCATTTATCTTAATTACAAGGAGAATTCAATAAATTTTGAATAATATTCTATTAAAACTAAAAAGTGGGCAAGGCCATAAACTTTGTGCACTACATAATTTAAATCATAAAAAAATAAATTAATAAGTTTCCACTAAAATTATAGCTAATCAAAACCTTAATATTAATATAAAAGAAGTATATAAAAGTTTTTATTGAAATCTAACCACATTAATATATGTACACTCTTTCAATCTAGGTTGAATGAAGTAGTTTTAACTACCATATTATTAAAATGTTACAATTTCTAAAAGAAGTTGTAATACAATATCCTTATAACTACCTACTATAAGCACCAAGGTTACATAATTAAAAAATCATAACAAAACACCACTACATTTTCTCAACTTGTACAACTATCCTATAAGCAAACAAATTATCTGAACATCTTAATACCTTGTATTAGAACTTTCAAGGTTATTTGAATAGATAGACATCAAATCAAAATATTAATGTTTTTTCTTGGAATGGCCATCCTGCACAAAAACACGAGAAGTTTGAAGTCAAAATCAGAACTATTACAACTCTTGTGAAGCAATCATTGCAACTCTTGGCAAGTAATCATTAACCTAAACAGTTACAAAAAATATGTTAAACATTTAGACAAGCATGATTGTTTTAAACCATAGATTAACAAAGCGCCACTCAAGAGTAACCAACAATTAGACAAACAAGAGTGCTACGAATACAAGCAATACAAGCATGAAAAAAGGTGCTACGAAAACAGACATTAGCATTTTTGAATGGTTAAAATACACTTCGACAACACACACGATGATGCACAAAAAAGCTTAGAAACTTTGCTCACTCAAATGCGTTACACTCTAACAGCACCAAAATTGTCTCACATCCCACATAAAAATTCAAAAAATTCTTAGGAAACTAACCATAAAGATGAACCATCATTAAAAGTCACAATCTTGATCCCAAGGCTGTTGTTCATCGTACCACCATGTCTTCACAGTGCCATCATGCGAGCAGCTGCATACCCACAAGAAATGTCCAAATTTCAAGTTTGAAACATCATTTGCAATCCCCTTATCAAGAGCTCAATGGAAAACCCATATTGTCTTGAATTAGCAACACTCCAATTAGAGCAATATTGAAGGGCATTACCTCACAAGAAGACTTTGATGAGCATTCCAGACAGCTCGGTAAGCAATATCAGTATGACTTTCGGGGCTGTGGCTACCTAACCTGTGAAGTATCTCTCCTGTTGCTGTATCCCAAATGTAAACAAAACCATCCTATTGCATATAATGCAGTACATACGCTGATTTAGAACTTAACAAATTCAAAAAATTTCAAAGTTCCGTAACAGCATTAGATATGAAAATTATCGCCATTATGATACAGATTATGTGATACTAGATACCAGGAGATGAGATTGAAAATAATTGTAAAGCAGGACTCATGCATTCTGGATTGACCAAGAATAAACATCCACTACAAGCACTACCAGAACCACAACTGTGCGAAAAGTACCTCAGAACCACCTACAACAAGAGACTCATCAGGTCCAAAACTTGCTCGCACGAAATTTTTACTTGTATTTTGGTGACCCTTAAACCTTCTAATAGGTCGTGCCTGGCATCATCGCAACACAATCAAAAAAATACGGTAGCAAGCCCAGCTTCAATTGCATAGAATAGCATTGATTCAATTTTCACAACAGAGGTAATAATAGAAGGTTTTCAGTCACTGCAAGATGGCAGCTCATCCTGCAGGAGCAAGACGAACTGAATTCATTCCGCACATGAGCGCATGTAAAATGGTAGAAAAAGAAAAACAGACAAATACATGCTAACAGGGAACTTACCAGTCGCACATCCCAGAGCCGGTTGGAGTTATCCTTGGACGCGCTCAAGAGAAAACTTCCAGCCTTGTTCATCTCAACTGATGTTACCTCTGAAACCAGAAAGAAACGAGAATTTTAGTTAGAATGACTTTAATCACAGCCCCACATCGATGATACGAATGCGTCACTCCATGTCAAGGAAAATAATGTCAGAAACAAAATACCTCCCAAATGAGAGCTGTACGTCTTTATACAGACTCCACTCACTAGATCCCAAAACTTAATCGTGCTGTCCTTCGAGCTGTCATCGTGAAGAATCAAGACTTAGTAAAAATTTCTACGTTTTCTCCTAAAAATGATAAGACATTTTCGGCTCCAAGATTACTACTTTGGAAGAATTCGTCATTTATGTAGGTCAATGTCACTCACCCACTAATGACAAGATTCCCCAACGGATTAAATATAACACGAGAAACAGATGATTTGTGGCCACTGAATGTGCGCAACAATGAACCAGTCCGAGCATCCCAAAGCTTCACAGTCTTATCATATCCACCTGTCACCACGTAATTCTGTGTCGACCATACATCAATTCTTGAGTATCTTCACATAAATACTACCTGTAATCAAGAATTGAAATTGGTGGAAAGGTTTCCTAGCCACAGAATGAAAAATCGCACATTGGATTGGTGGTATTTGACACTGTACACATCACCCTCATGGCCAGTCAGAGTTGCTGAGCATGGGGATTTGCTTGAGCCTCGCAAGTTCCAAAACTGCAGCCAAATGTTCCGAAGTCAGCACGCAATCTTCTCATAAACCAAAGGGAAAACCGTAGTGCCTCAGTTCCTAGTTAGAGAAATGAAATCGAGGTTTGTACCTTAACAGTGGAGTCCCCAGAAGCACTTGCAATAAAATCACCGCTACTACTAGAAGATACATCCCAAATTCGAGATGTATGACCACCTCCACTGCCAATCTCTCCATCACCCAAAACCCGTACACATCGTCCGCCTTCAACATCCCATACTCTCAACGTGTTGTCACTGCATTTCCAGTTATAAAAAGTCATAACCATGTGACAACCTACTACAAGTAGGTGACATACCAAATCCACTTGTAAATTTGTTGTAGTATGTGATGAATTCATAATGCATAAATCTACAGTCGTGTCATTGAAATGCAGATGAATGCACCTTGAGCCTGAAACAATTTGCGTGCCTTCTTCTCCAACAAATTCCACACATCTGCCCCACCAATCAGATGAAAGAGAATAAATTACTATCCAAACAGTCAAGTGTTAAAATACTACCAAGGCAAACAATTTGAAGTGCAAAATGGAAAGGATGAAACAGAGTTCACAAAATGACATACTTGACATTGCAGCGATGGCCACGAAACGTAGTCTTATGCGCATTGGGAAGAACAAAACACGAGTAATCCTCCAACAATCTGCCAGAACCAGTGCACCCTTAGGAATGCTGTCGCCCACAATCCCCTGCCTCTGCTCACCATCAGACCTCATTCTTTTCCTTCAACATCTCCAGGGGAGGGCCAGTGCACATAATTAAAGTCAAGTTTGTATTTTAATTCCTTTTCCATGCGATTTGTGATAGAAAGTATCACAGTTCCCGGGTTCTTTCTTTTGACCGAGTTCTCCGTAACCATCGTCCACCAGTCACATTACTATGACCTTCAGTATACAACATACCACTTGCCATATACAGAACACTACACTGGAACTGAAAACCCCGGTTCAAACATTTGGCAAAGGGAAGGTTAAAAAACCGACAGCTCGTGTACGCATGCCTCATTACAAAGAGAATGAGAAAGATGAACTAGATTAAACAAAACAAACAAAATTAAGGGAGTTGTTCATAGAGAGAGGGGTTCTTACGTGGGAACACTAGGAACAACTTTGGGATGATATCTACTAAACTCGATCTGGTACCGCACTGCCTGTTTCAGCAAATGGAGCAGCCTCTGTGGTTGCACCTCATGCCTTACAACTATTACACAACATCAAAAGCCCGTTGCATACAAAAGGTCAAAAGTTTCTTTCATGAGCTACCATAAAATTCTAAGGCGAATGCTGTGAACGGGTCCACTTTTAAAGTATCAGAAAGCAGGTCCATACTCCGTACAAAAAAAGAGGGTAATAAGCTACACAAAAAAATAACAATTCCTTAGGGTATATATAAAGCTCTACTCGAAAGTCACACCTGCGAAGTCATTATTTTCAATCTCCAGCATAGAAGAAAACTGTTCCACTAGTTTTTCTCTGCAAAAGACGCAGATTCAGATACATTTACACAAATATGGACTATAATCGTAAACTCCACACCTCACTTAGAATCAAATACAGAAGGTTCAATCTCTTCATGTTCTTAGCAGCCTTCCACTTAACTGACCTCCGCACACTCTTCTGCATCAAAGATCTAGTGTGATTTACTCCACTTTTCGAGAACTCAGAATTCCAGATAATTCCTAACGTAGCACATCTATCATTTGTACCACTTACAAAAAAGGAATTGAAAGGTCTCCAACAGGTTAGTGAACAAATAAGAAGTACCGGGAACTTGCGACACCTTCCCAAGTCTTGAAAAAGGGTGCATCCTGAATGGATTTGCAAGTCAGGAGGTAGCACAGGTCCTTAAACTCGTTGTGCAAGCTCCCCATTTGCTCCAAAGGTTTCAACCTTTTGGTTAATAATGCAAAAGCCTGAATTAAATTTGAGAATAAAAATTATGAGAGTGTGATTCTAGAGAAAACCATCCCACCTCATTCCGACTTTCTCCATTTTTCCACGCCATCAAGGGACCCAAAATAGAAAGAAAACAAAATGAACTGTACTAATCCAAGTGCTTCTCTCAGTCAAGTTATAGAATCCGAGGGCCAGGGGCTGCAAGTGAGTACCTTCTGATACTCCAGCTGCTCAATCAGCTCAAGGTACTGCTGCTTGTAAACGGTGTAAAGAAAATGCTTATGATCTTTCAATGGAGTCTTCTGCACCAACTTCTCCATCTCAACCCATTCGCCATCTACGCAAAATAGTTGAATCAAACATTATAGAATAGGTCTTCATCTTCCTCATGAAGTCAAGACAACCTGAACTTTAATTCCACATGCGAGAAGGGAAAGCATACCTAAGATAGCCGCCTTGATGCGTTTGAAATGTGATCGGTTGCGTAAATTTTCGGTGAATCGCACACTCGCTTCGTCCTGTATGGTCATTATGGACGCAACATAACCCTCGTCCTGGAGATACTGAACTATCATTCGAATTATATCCTGCCATAACACGGACTTGTCATAATTCGTAACAATAGCATACATGGTTGCGCAGATCATATGGCAAGAACAAAGTTGCTAAACAACCTCCTTTATTCTGGGGTCATCATGGTCGAAAATTGCATCATCATTCCCAATAGTCCGACGCGGTGGCCCTGCGTAGACTGCAGCTCGTGCCCTCTCCGTGAGATCCACATTGTCATCCCCATTCGCGTCCTGCCTGTGACCAGACGCAAAAATGATAAGTGATCATTTAAGCAAGTGGTCCAGAAGATATAAAGACCACCCAAAAGTACGTTAAAACAATTTTGAAAAAAAAAAAAAAAAAAAAAAAAAAAAACCCCCAAACACCAAACATAAATAAAATAAAAAAGTTCATTTTTTCAAAAAAAAATTCAAGAATATCAATTGAAGTACAAGAATTCCCTAGATTTCTTTCAAGGTAGAAAACCTACCAATGGGACAATTCAATACTTCCAATCAACAAAGACCAGAGGAGCTGATGATAGGGTCAGTGAAGGCGGCTGGCGCAGAATTCAAAATGCATCCGAAATGAAATGCCACATTGTGCGAAATACAGACCACACCCCAGCATCCGAAATCCCTATAGGGGAGGGAGAGAGAGAGAGAGAGAGAGAGAGAGAGTAGATTAGAATGTGGAGGGTGCACCTAGACGTGGAGGCCGAGGACGACAACGCGGATGGGCCTAATGACAGACGCAGAATCTCCGAAGCCAGGGTCGAATCTGCCATGCTTCTCACCCTTCTGCAGTTAACTCCAGAACCAATCTTATAAAACCATGCTTCTCCCCCGATGTCGAACCTCGTTACAGTCTCCACGCAATTCAATCGCCACCCTCTTCACACACCCCCCCCCCCCCCCCCCCACTACCTGAAAACTCTCACACACACACACCCTCAAATCGCAGCACCGTAAGTGGTCGATCGTCCTCAAGCCGCAACCAAAACCAAGCTCCGTCGCATCCACACCTCGAATTTCTTCTTCACACACAGAAATCAAACGCGCATATCGTTACAGAGGAATTCACGAAGCAGCAGCAGCAGGCTTCGATCTCCGATGAGCTCCCCCACCAGAACCCACCATGCACACTATTTTTCTTTTACGCAACTTTTCTTTTGCGCTTCCTTCCATGTTGTTGTTTGCGTTGCTTCGTACCTTTCCTGAGTGACTGCAGAACTCTTTCTTTCTAGGCTCTGCAAAAGATTCATTTTCCTATTCTTGCGTTTCTGTTGTTCTGGGAAGGCACACTTGGAATGATGCCATGACCACTTTTCTCTATTTTACCTCCTTTTTAGAGTAATTACAATGTGAATTTTTCTAATTTGTAGGCAAACTTGTTCTTGGCTTCCCAGAATTAGGATTGCAACTCAATTGGAGTACTGGAGCCAAATTTGTATGTAATACTTGTTGAAATGGTAATAATATTATTAATATAAATAATTTAAGCATTTCAATGATGTTAAAAATAAAATATTTAAAATTTAGAAAATTCCATACATATATATATAAAAGAAGAAAAATAATAAATCAATTTGTATTTCATATCACTTCCATACACAAAAATTTGTATACATACAATGGTACCTCACATAATTTATATCTCTTAACTAATGTTCTTTGCTTAGTTGATAATATTTGATGAAACAAAGATTGTTCCTAGGTTGTAAATTTATAATCTTGTTTGTTTCATAATTAATATATATATATATATATATATATATATATATAAATCAAAGTAATAATTTAAGTGTTAATTTTATCAGCAAAAAATAAATAAACATGGATTCAACTAAAATAAAGATCATTGATTTATGTATTTAGAATCTAAAATGGATAAATAAGGGTTTAATGAGAGAGGAGATCATTTGTTTGTACAATTAAGATTTAAGATTTATTGTTTTCATGCTACTCCAAATGTTGCACTCACTTTTTCTTGTCTTTGCATTCTTAAATTTGTTGCCCTTAGTTAAGTTGCTAGCTTCCTTGCATCTGACAACTTTAGTCCCCACAATACCAGAGTAGAAGTGTAAATGGGAATGATTATAGGTGCATGATTAGAAAATTGATGAAGTAGTAAATTGTGTAATGTGAAAGACTTCTACGTCACAAAGATTATTTTCTCCATACATAATTATATATAACATGGTTTACTACACCATGATGGCATTATTGTTGGATACTTTGTTGGACAATTTCTTGTATATACAATTAAATTTGCAATCAAATCACATTTATGTTTTATTCTGTGGTATATTAATTTTTGGTTCAATATAATAATCAAATCAACTAGGAAAAATTTAGAGATATTCAAGATATCTATCATCCTCACTATAATAAACTTCTTTAACTTTGTTTAAATCATATCTTTTAGACACCTTTAATTTTCATACAAGAATACTAGAAATAACATCTATGACATTGTCTTGTACAAGTTTCTTTTTCTATTAGAGCCATGCCTCGAGACTTTTCTAGGAAACATTAGGTAAGTGTTATATATATTTTACAATTTAGTGTAGTTATTGTTTATAATATGAGAGCTCTTGTTTCTTTGCTAAGCTAAATTGTAATCATAAAGTACCAATTATGATGTAATTAAAACCAAAAATATGTCTAATATTAAAAAAAATATATAATACTTGTTTTTATTTGAATTATAATTGGAAATATAGTATCAAACATGTATCTTATTTAATCCACTTAACACTTATTAAATTAGATTTGAAAACAACTGAGGTGTTCATATGTCAATCAATTGTATAGTAGAGTCTTTCTAGTTACATTGTTGGTCACAAGATTTACCTAACAAAAAATGAACATTCTTGTATCAATAGGCTATGTCTACCCTATCAAATATTTAATATCAAAAAATAATATAAAGTAAGTCATTATATTAGAAGGAGAATACTTAGTAAAAATATTTAGAAAGTAAAAAATAGGTAACAAATCCATTACAAATTTGGCACAATAGACTTCCTTGATCATCCTTCTAATTTATTTTAGTGAAATTTATCAAAAGCAAAACCAATTAAGTAAGTTCATTTACTCTTGTGATAGAATAGCAAGTCTTAAAAGCATTGTACTTTTGATCTAATTCACAACCACTTTATAAAATTTTGGAATGTCATCTAAGCGTGTTGTATTTCCAAGAGCATTTGCAAGATTAACAAATGCTTCATATAGTTGGCAAAGGTACAAAGAGTGTTCTTTATGCATAGACAAGAAGATTATATAATAAAGAATTGATGATGGCCTTCACAAGTTGGATCTATTATCACATCTCAAAATAAATTATAATAAAATAATACAATTTAAAATTTTAAAATTTTGCACTTGTGTTTGTTAATGTGTTTAAACAAACTTGTAAAATAAGATTCATTATATTACAATATTTTGCAAACACATTATTTTATAGATGAAGAGGAAGGAATGGACAAAGATTTACTTCATTGTTTAGGACTTTGTTGTGCCTAAAGTCTCATGTGGGTTACAAAGACAAAGTTATTGCATTAGTCACGTGATTATTTTATAAAAAAACATGAGATTTTTTTTATTATATCATTATATCTTATATATTTGTATAAATATTTTATAAAAAAAATAGGAATTTAGAGTTTGTAATAGATATGTATTTTTTTTTACTATTTAGGTGAAAACCAAAAATATTCTGTTTTTGAATTAATTTAATTTTTGAATCAACATACACTTACAAAAATTTAATAAATAAATTTTTTTGATATATGTATATTTTAATATTTATCATATAAAAAATTAATATAATATAATCAATTATAATATTTTTATATTTAATTTAATGATGTTTTTGTATATATATATATATATATATATACACATCCATTAGTATATTTATAAATTATAGATGCTATGGTTTTTTAGACATAAAATAATTACAAAAAGTTCTAAAGGACTATGCAAGTATTATATTTATAATTAAAATTATTTTATGACTTTTTGATATTTAAAAACAGTTTTTTATTTTAAATATCATTAATGTAATTTAAATTAATTTCATAATCATTTCAACTTATTTTTTCTTTTAATTTTTCTAAACCTAAAAAGATAAGATTTTTAAATTTTGATCATATTTTTTTAGTTTTTTAAATATAATTTCTGATTATAAAAAAATTAAAAATATATATTTAGAATTTTAAAAATCAACTTGTTTTCTTAAAATTATTTTTAATAAGTTGAATATATTAAGATTGATATATTTCTTTTACTTTTATTCTAAATTTATCTAATTTATGAATTTATACATTTTGTACAAAGTATCATTGTAATATCTCTAATGAAGAATTTTTCTTTCTTGATTATGAGTCTAATAATATATTATTTTCATTTAAAATCTTAAAATTTAAATGCATTGAAGATTTTATTTTATAAGGTTATCTTTAATAAATGTAAAATATATTCAAATAATTTTAAATAAATTATAAAGTATAGATTTACAACTAAAGGCAATAAATTTTTGCCATAACTCCATCATAATTTATACAAAGCATTACACAAATACTTTAATATTATGAGTTGTATTTATTACTAATAACCTAATCAAAATTTAGCAATTATTGCATATTATTACTTCTACACTTATTGTGACTATGTAATTTTATTCATTAATTAAAATTTCTATTATATTAATTGCACCAATCATTTTGTAACAAGAGTTCTTCCAATACTATTAATTACTTTGATCAAGGTTGAACAATTGTTTTTTGTTTATGTCCAAAGTCATGGAAGTGCCACTATCTTAGTCTATGATTTAGTTATATTTAGTGATGGCACAATCCCATAATTCCAAATAATTTTAGAAATTAATGCAATTGAAGAAGAACTTTGAAGTTTGAATTTTTTTTACAAAGAGTAGTTCTTCCTTTAAGCCACAAACTTAATTTAATTTAAGTACAAAAATCAAAAATTAAAACAAAAAACTTTGGAAAATCACTGTGGTCTCAACAACCTCCTACATCTTTTGAAGGTAACAGAATATTCATTGTGGCATTAAATTACACATTTGATCGCACTATTCACAAAAATTTGAATTTTAAACTCCAGTAAAATACTTTAGAGCCAAAAAATATCAAATGATGGTAAATGTATTTTCCACTAAAGATTCAGTATAAATCTCCAAGTCACCCCACGAAAAGTGCATGCTTCCTCGACAAAACCAGGAATTCATACATGAAAACGTGCACCAACAGGATCGCCAGAAGACAGTTCAGATGCATCATAGATGTGCATTTTAAACATCACGAAGAAATTAAGTCATCCCTCCAATGATAGAAATACCGACACACGATGTCGGTATTGGTGTCGGTGCCGGCCCGAGGCAAAGCTGGATTCCTTTCGATTCCTGTTCAAGAATAGGATTGGGGGGGGGGGGGGGGCATTTGAGCCGCTGCTCAATGTGCACCACCACTCGCAAAAATCTCAAGGAGCTCCATGAATCGAAGAGGGCAGTCCCGCACTGTAGTTGCTGGATCGCCTAGTCTCAAGTTCTAGGTAGCTGTGAGTGTCACGTCTGTGCCAGTGTATGGTTTCAGTCAGTGGCAAGCGGATGGTAGCCATGGGTATTAGTACGAATCTATTTAAGAGCATGGTGGTCCATAGTCTGATCATTGAGATCCAGCTCATGGTGTTCTTCTGCCAAGTGCTGCTCCGCCATAGTCCTGGTCGTTTTTCCCGTATTTTGTAGATAAAAAAGCTGCAGTGGCTGTTGGGAGAGCATCAGGAATTGTCATGCTGGAGTGTGAGTACTACTTGACTTATTGGGCTGCTTCTGTTGCAACACACTGCCGTCGTGTTTTGAACAAGCTGTCAAGACTAACACTCCTTGTACTATTATCTTTTAAAACCTCATCAATTCGGTCCTACGATTTGTCTGTTTAACCTTGGTAAAATCTAGGTGGTTGAGGAGATATGAGGTAAGAAAAGAGAATCCAATACAAGAGATCACTCTTCATGACGGATCCACTTTCTTTATTTTGGATAGCTTCAACGCGAACTACGAACTGATGTCTGGTGGCAACGGCAGTGTTGCGCTTGTCCATTTAGCTACTTCGGTCACTCTTGCTCAGCTTTGTTGTGAGAGCTGGAGACAAGTAAAGCTCATTAACAGACAGTTCTTTCCGGTTTCACGAACTTATTACTTGTTTAGGCAATTTGCAAATAACAGCAAGAGGCTACAGCAGAACGCACCACCCGAGCTCTTAAGAAGCCATTATCTATTATCCAGAAAACGATTTGTTTCCCCCACTGCTTAATGGTCTGGCTGAACCATAATTGAAGGCGTTGTGCATGGTTGAAAACTCGATACATGTCTCCACACCAAAAAGCAAGCAGTCACAACTGAATCACATCCTCTCGAGTTGTATTTTCAATAAAAAAAATTCGGTAATAGCAATCAATTATGCCGATCAAAATGAACACACAAGATGAAACTGGGACAGTGATTTGAGAGCCATTACTTAATACCAACCTTGACAGGGGATAATATCAGAAAAACGAGTATTACCTAACATGCTAGCGCTTCCTGAAACAAGTGCTATTCTCTATGATTCATACTCTACAGACATCATGAACTTACTCAAAATAATGACGTGATATCCTTTCCAACAGGGCATGATATTTCACTCTTTACAACGATTGCAAAAATTGCCTCTAGAGTTGGCTCTTATTGTCCTGTTTTGCAGGAAAGTAAATAAGCATCTCAAAAGACAGCAAATGCACATCGTAGTCCACCAGAAGCGGAGGCAAGCATCCTAAAAATTCGGACACATGGATTGCTCGATGGGGATTAATGGTTTCTGTTCTAGCACTGAGGTGGGAAAATTTAGCAGAAAAACTGGAGCGCACACAGTGTAACTACTAACGAAAGTGTCAAAATGATGAAAATCGCATGCGACATTCAAGTCGAGTCAAACTCGAAAACTGTAGAACCTACTACGGGACCTTCCCTGTGATTGGGAAAGAGTCTTCAAGCGTGTTGATGGTAGAAGTGATGGCACTGGTTCATCACCCCCTTCATCAGAGCGCCAGCGACTGCCTCCATTCTCGTCAGCCTCTGCATTCCTGATCCCACAAATGACAATATGCTCAGCAACAAGAGACTGTGGAAGCCGAAAAGAACAAAATTATCACACAAAGTGACTTGTTTACAGTCGTCAGAACTAGCATACCGGAGTTACGTGCCAGAATTTGAGGAACAAAAATATTATTCACTCCCAACCTGTAAAAAGGTGAGTACCAACCTTCTGGATGATTCTCGGGGTAATGTGCCAATGTCAGATAAGGGTCCGCTTCCCTCGTCTATGGGTTTAAGTGTGAAATCCTTTAATGATTCCTTCTCTCCATCACTCTGCAACCACGACCGGTCTGATGGGTGTCGCTTCCCATTAGATGACCAACCATTATTTCCCTCAATGTCCATTTCCACCGTGTGGCTATTGTCAGTATGCAAACCATCTGTCCTAAGACCATTCTCTATGGTTAAAAGAGACCCATTGCCTGAATAACCAGTCTCATTCCTTTTCACCGTTATATGCTTCTCCACTCCACTTGCCCAAGAGCCTGGTCCTGCTGTATCCAATCCATCCCCACTTCGCACATTTCCGAAGTCAATGGTAGGAAAAGGCGACTCCCTAGGCTGTTCAGCCTCATAACGAAGACGCCGCCCTTGCACAGGGCTTTCTCCCATGGTAGCAAACTCGTGAGATACAGTAAGCCCATTTGTTTCAGGAAAATTCGTGTTTGAGAGAATGGGAGAGGGAGGTGCAGGTGATCGTGGCCCCAAGCGTTCTTGTGTAAATGACGGATGACTGTAACCAGCCCAAGCAGAGCTGGATGGAAAATTGTTTTCTTCAAGAGCCATGGGTTCCCTGATCAAGTTCCCACCAGGATAACCAAAGAGAGGGGATGCCAAAGGATTGAGTCTATGTTCGTCCACGGCCTGTACTAATGGTTGAAGTGACTCCAAGTCAGGTTGAGGTGAATCGATTATGGCACTGCGAGCCTGCCGCCGCTGGAGCTCTGGTAGAAGCTCCATGCACTTTTCCTGTTAACCAACCAGTGCTCAATATCATTCAGGGAGAGAATGTGGGTGGAAGAATAAACTGAGTAGCAAAAATTTTCCATGAACTACCAAGACATAAAAGGACAAAGAGCGCACTCATCTACTAAGCTTTAGGTGCTGTTTGTTGCCAAACATAAATAAACATTCCCCCAGTGTGTACGAGCATTTATGCCTGGACCAACTATGATCATACTAGGGCAGTTCCAATCTAAGGAATGTGAGCAACAAGTACTTACAACAATTCGGTTCCTCTGTTCACTTGCCATGCGAACTCGGGAGATCTTCGCTTCATCAGTGCACTTATCTCCCCACAACTCCTCAAGTTCCCTCAACTTTTTGTGAACTAAATGTGCATCGATATACCGACATCGCTGTCAACGATAAACACCAAAAAACAAATTAGTCGGATGCTGAAGCGACAGAAGCTTCGCATAAATCCACAGCAATACAACCCGTGAATCCAGAAATCTGTAACCGAACTTTTACAATACCAAAAATGGCGGAAAAAATAATATTTAAAAGAAAGAATACAACTTACGATAATGGAACACTCCAGACTAGATACGCCTACAATCATTTAATAATAGCAGTACCAGATCAAGTTCTATTTTATATGCGCAAAATATATTAATCTTTCACAAAGCTTTCTCTTAGTTCTAAATGTGCTTGTAATTTTGTACAATAACAGAATTAAACCATGACTAGTGTTCTGCACTGAACCACATAAAGCCCCAGCTCCAGCTCATTGCATTCCCGCTCACTTATTGGAACAACATGAAGAAGGTTAGTAAAGCAGTTAAACCAGTACAGCACCTGTACATAGAAGACAACCAGGAGATTCCCTGATGTAGACGAGGAGTCTTCTCCAGCATGATCAAGTAAAGACTTTCTCACATACTTTTCTTCCTCTATCCTCCATGGCAAACTTAGCATTTTGTTCACTAAGCTCATGCCCATACACAACCTGCAGATTTCGCTCACCAACACCTCCGTACTAGTTAACCAATCACCCCCTTCCCGCTTAACGCAATCGACGTAGGATCTCTGATATAAATAGCTTTGAGTAAGAAGACCACACTGGAGCCAAACCCTAACGGTTGTGAGAGCATCTGAAAGAGGAACAAGCCCTACTCCCTGGCTATCACGTCCAGTTGCACGAAGAACAGCGAGTGCTGCCTCGGGCTTCTGACGCTCAAGCAAGACAGTGACCACCTTTGGATGTGTATTGTGGCTAGCAATTTCCGGCAGTAACTGACACGCATCCTGACAGTCATAAAGCCACAATTGTCATTACAAATCTACTTTTTTACAGTAAAATCAACATCCGCATTCAGATTGGCACAGCTCAAAATGAGAATCCAATAGACTCGTGTGGACGAATATAGAGGAGTAAATCTAAAAAGCAGTAGGGAGTTGGTCACTAGAAATTAACCTCCAGGGCATGATCACTACTGTCATCGAGAAGGTAAAATACAAGGGACTCCAGCATGAAATGTCTTGAGATGCTGAAAACGCTCACGTAGTCATCTACCACTCCTCGCCAATTCTCATCAGGAGATGCCCAATGACGATCAAATAAAAAGTACAGAAACTGCAGTGAAATTAAGGAATACCATACAGCATAAATGACACTCCTGCTAGACCGGATACACACAAAAAAAATCAAAAATCAAAAGGTAACCAAAACTTCGGCCAGAGAGTCGGTAACATTCGCTCTATTCAATTGAGCCTTTAAATCGTATGACACATTAGATTTGTACTGTACCATTCAGCCAGCGATGCCATATCCTATCATCCTTGACAATAGATCCACACCTTTCTCTCACAAAGTGACGAGAGAAGTAACAGAAAATTCTGAAAAGTCAATAAATCGACATTAAACCTCTGCTAACATGATCATGCTATTAAGTAATGAGAATATGAAGGATACAATTGCCTTCTTGGCGAGTATAAGATCACAGGTTCCCTTCAAAAATAACAGATCCACAGCAGCACGGACGCTTTCAGGGGGGTAAGGCGACCTTGATTGCGTCGGCTCTAAATCACGTCTGAACCTAAGAGAACCTGGAGTTTGGGCTGTAGGTCCTTGCCGAAGCCAGTTCAGCTCAGGAAGGTCTCCAAACCCCACTTCATTTTCATCGTCGCCTTCAAGAAGGCCAAGGTTAACCAATGCATCCTCGATAAATAGAGTCGCTGGTTGTAGAACCTCTAACTTACAATTATTATGAGTTTCTGGCCATGCCCTATCTTGAGCCACTGACGTTCGTTCTTTCACAGATGCATGCCACTGGCTGATGCTTGTATAGCTTGATCGAATAGTTTCCAGAAACTGATGTCGTGCACACCACGTCATCACTTCTAAATGCTGCAGAAAACATCTCAGGATGTAAGTCACAGCAATCAAATAATAAGGTGACATACAAATCCCATCGTCAAAGGCTCTTGCAACCACAACCATATTGAAGAAAACATCAGAATTCTAGGTTCGCTCATAGTTTGTACAAATACATGACAACAAAACTTTAACTAACTTTATTCAAATTAAGCATCGAGCATGATAACCTCTCTATACTTGCAACATCCACGCTCAATGATGCGTTTGCAGTCTTCTAAAGAACGTGTGTTCACGATCTTAAGATATGCTAACATCACCCACCAGAAGACCTATGTTTCTAAAAGGTAGCTTGTATGGTACATTTGCATTAATATCGTGGGAAAGGACTAATCCCTGTAGACATGCTTACCTGGATTACTTTGCGAATAGATTCCAGAAGCTGACGAAGCTCAATCAGAGCTGGAGAAAGCGGTTGATCCACTAGTGGTGCCTCAAGAGCTTCTAAAATATAGACAACTCCCTCTAACCTTCTCCCGTTCCAGTCAATAACATCTGTTTTCGCGATCATCTGTTTTGGGCTGAGATTGTCTATGTAAAACATGTCAAGGCTGTCACGCTACCCCCTCCGACTATCAGTGAATATAAAGTACATTCAGTTGCAGAATTAATAACTGCTAAAAATATTGTCGTTAGAGTAATAGCTAGATGACGAACTCACACCCCTTACCAAGATGAAGCCGAGATAAAATTGAACATACAAAAAGTGAGGGATGGATACAAATATCTCGCAGTCCAAGAGCGACGCTGTGAAAGGTCCGCCTGCACCAATCTTTCACCACGACACCATCCAATAATATAGACACCAATGCATTGCTGGAAACAGCTCCTTCATCCATGCACACCTCAGCAACATCTGATCTCCCTGAATTAAGGTAAAGCTTCTCTTGTGTAATACATACAGCTATTTAGAGTTGAGCTGTTAAAATGATGCACATACAACCTATTGAATACCAATTTTTCTTTAAAAGAAATACAACATCATAGTAATGAGAATAGAGCAGGCAACTTCATTGCTCTATATTACACGTTTAATAAGATCACAGTAAAGAAGTAAGAGAGCTGACAGAACAGACAGCAGCTGCTAACAAAACAGTCAAAGTCTGCGCTTCATGGAACAGTTAAGCATCTAAAATAGAAACATACCACCAGAAAGAAAATCCAACCGTCTAGTTCCATGTAACGTACTATTCACAAAAAAATAGGAAGCATACTCTTACGCCTGACAAAAATCAATGAGGTGCAAAATTCCATGTGATGGAGAGGATACAGTGGCAGATCAAGGACACAAGATTATTGTTTAGTGCCACGTCAAAGAAAGAGTAAAGACGGCCAACATCCACACTTTCTGCTGCTAACTCTGCGCCTTTTTGTATAAGTCCTGCATCAACAAGTTCCTCAAAAAGTCGTAGCTTGTCTTGACCGAAACTGCCTGTTGGAGTCCTACAAATAGGACAGCTGACACTCCGTTGAAGGCATTCAAGGCAGAGACATGCATGGCCACATGCAGATAGGACGTGACGAACAGCTCGCCCGCAGCTACGTAAATCACGGGTTGCCCTGCAGGTTTCGGTCTTCGCTTCAGCGCTTAATTCGCAAGGCTCCAGTAATGCCAAACGTTCCAGCGCAGCCTGCTTTGTCACAACTTCAAATTAGTAGCTACCACAATTCCTCTGTCCATATCCTAAATTCATATGTCACGCAAGAAAGCCGCAACTGTCTACAAACACTGGATGAAGAAGTTCACAAATTTGGTAGAAAACGAAAAATCGGTGTTGAAACCAGTGCTTGGCACTACAATCACTAGTCCTTGCTTCAAAAAATCATTTTAAACATTCCTGATTCAGCTTACTTCGAAACTCCATCAAACTCTCGAACAAACATTGCGCTACACATGTCGAACTTTAGAATTCAATCCACAACAACATCACCTCCTCACATACACACGGCTTCACTGTCCTACAATTACACTGCGACCCTGCACCACACGGTGCGAACGTCCAAATCGCCCCCACAACACAAACCACAAATTTCACACTACCACCACCGCTCCGACGTCCGTATCCCAAGACCGCATGCTAATACATATCCACATCCTTCCCAATAAAAACCACACTATCATCCCCACCCTAATATTTCGCCTCCTCACCACCCTCTTCTCTCCAACGCCCTCATCCCTTACTATCCGCCTTCCAAATTGTCCACCATCTCTATCCATGCAAATTCCTCTCCTTGCGCACACACCAGGCCCAATACCATTATTCCTCTGCATCACTTGCCTTCCATATCACAACTACCCACACGCATACTCATCCTCACCCCGCTCATCACCATCCTGCCCTCATTCCAACGCGCGCCAAAACCACTGCGCCATCTCAACATGCTTCCCTACACAACCCTGTCGCATGTTTCACAGGGAACGCCTCTACACTCTACCACCGTATGCTGCTCTCCACATTAACACCCCAAACAACTCACCTACCTCCCGTTTCTGTCCCACTGCAAACGATTCACCGTGCACTCACACTCCTCTCCGCATTCACTCACAATCCATGCCACCAATTCTCGAAATCCACACCACCAAGTGCTATACGACCGATCATATTCATAACCTCGTCAATCTCAGGTCCATGCGAATCGCGGTGATTCCCGCACAGCCTGATCCCTACTACAACCCATTCCGTAATCCACAATAGCACCACTTTCCCAACTAAACCCTCATCATGCTGCTGCCCACAACCCCAACACAATCCCCACGAAGTCTTCACTACAGATACTTGCCTGTCTCTACTCTGGGAAAGGACCATAACGACAGAAATCACTAAGCAAACTTCACAAGTGATGCACTTCAATGTGCAGACAGTCACACACCATTCATGACAATGACGTTGTGCGACCCAACAAGGAACGTTCAGAATGTTGATCCAGCTTTGCAGACCGCCCATGATTCAAGAACTTGAATGATAGCAAGTTCTAGTGGAAAGACGAGGATGAATGCTGCAGGGAGCCCATGCTGTTAGGGGGCTCATCACCCTAGATACAGAACGAAAGCCAACAGGCTTGTGCTGTGGAGGTTAAAGGACGATCGCAGCGAAGATCAGCCAGTAGGAAGAGAGAATTAGCTCGATTCGTGCTGCCTCTCCCAACAGACTACGATCATTACGACCAAAATATTCAATTTCGTCTCTCCTTCACTATATCTCACCCAACCAACCCCAGATCTCCCTTATTTCTCCCGAGGTCGTAAAAATGCCAAGAGCTTCACATCGAATATGAAACGCACCTGCTGTCTCGAAATGTCCGCCATGAGACTCACCGCTGCTCCGCAACCTCGTGCAAGAAGAACACGAACACCAATCCTTTCTGCTGAAGTGGATAATTGGTCGTCCACGTAACCTCTAACAAACTAAACCAAAAATAATTTATAAAAAATAGTTGGTCATTTCTCCACCACGTCAAACCCTATGAATCACACCACAACCTTCATGAACCTCTGTTCTTCACCGTAAAGACGGCAGGAGAGCTCCCAACACATGATGAAAGAGGTTGTCGCTCACTCGTGGCTCCCACTACGGAGGGCGGAGTTAGAGAAGTAAAGAAATTGCAACAAACTTTTGACGCAGGTTAGTGACAAGCAGAGCTCAAGCGCGCCATCTCAAAAATACAGACAAGAAAAAATTCCACCGCCAGAAATCACTCAGTCCAATGTTCACATTCTTCCTGCTCACTGAGCTCCAAAACAACACTCCTCCACTTCCTCCACTCCCTCCACAAATGAAACGGGTATCCTCCCGAGCTCAAGCATCCACACCGATAACCAGACTCCCCCTTCCATCCCCTTGCAACTACACACTTCCCCGCGCCTTCGCCAACAGCAGAACTCACGACAGACGTCGAAATCAGACCTCGCGACACTGTCTACGAGAGATGACTCTCCATCTGGGTCCACGACGAGGAGCAGGAAGAGCCAGCGGTCTTGCCGCATCTCATTCAAAAGAGCTCGGAAGCGGGAGAGCCATGAAGGCGATGCATGAAAGACGAGGGCAGTGAAGGGAAACTCGGGAATGACAGTGACACGGTCTCAAGGCGAAGACCCTAATGTGTGCCACGAGTGCCTGCCACCTCGGCGCCGGAGGGTTATTTGAGCTGCCACCTAGGCGGAAAGTGCCCATGGCAGTGTCCACGTCGGCGGGTGGAGGGAACAGCTGCGAGAGGCCGATATTGGCGGTATGACTGTTCATTGGGTGGTTTGAGCCTTGAAGCCGTTCAAACACACTTCCATTCCTTCATTGAACAAATATATTTGAATGATTTGAATGATATCATCATGTATATTCTAATTTTAAAAGATTACAATTTTAAAAAATATATAATTGTAGAAGGATACATCCTGCAGCTCCAAAACTACGGGACATTTGATGTTTTAAAATACGATATTATTCACAATATTATCTTGATGCTATTTTTATTTGTGTATTTAGATGTGAATGTGTGCAAGAAAGTGTATATATATAATATTTAAAAATGTTACACCCACTTGCATTATTTTTAATATTCTTAGCTTTATTTCAACACCCATGCGACTGTAACTAAGATGATCTTAATGGTAAAAGAATATATATATATATATATATATATATACATACATACTTACTTACTGAACAAAGAGATTAATATGCTCCATTTTTGCCAAGTTTTATTTTTAAATATATGTGAGGTATGTTTAAAAGATCTTAAAGATAACCAAGAGCTGATGCTTTAGTGTTAGAAAATGAAAACAATTCATAGGTTATAGTGAAGGTTATAGAATTACCGTTAGGAACCATACTCATGTTTAAATTTTAACATCAAAGTTGATAATTATGTGTGTATTCCAAATACATTTTTAGAGCTTACATGGAATATATTTTCTTCATTTTATTTTAATTTATTAAAATTAAATAAATTTTTGAGTTTTAAAATTAGATTCTCAAATAAAATCTTTTTTAAACCAAGTGAGTAGTCTAAAATTATTTTTTAAGGAAGGGAAGTTAAAATAAATATTTTGTGGATGGTTTGAAGACCTCAAGCCCTTGCTTGATTTAACATAACTACTTTTGTAAATATTGACCTTGTATGTTGCAAACTATATGTAAGAAAATATACTACAATGCAAAACAATATAAAAAAAGAAATTATATACTTAATGATCAAAGATTAATATAACTAGAAAATAGTTAGTAAGAGACTTATAAGTACCTAATAATCAAGTGAATAAATCTAACATTATTATGTTATAATATGACTATTAGATGAAAAAGGTGCATAAGAACAAAAATAAAATAAGGATTCAATCAAAATATTTATAGATTTTATTTTTAAAATTTATAGCTAATAGATTGGTGATTTTTTGAGCTTTAATATTTTATATTTACTATTTTACAAAGATGGTATCCACTTACTTTTCACAACCATTAATAAGACAATATTAAATAGAATATATATTAAATCAATATAATTAACTTTAAATTAAAGTTAATAGCACTTTTTTACAAAAATGTTTATAAAGAAAGTTTAAATTGATACTTAGAAAGAATTGTTTGTTAGACAAGGTTGAAATCAAATTATAAGACACAAAAACAAACATCCTATGGAAAATAGAGGGTTTTTTGAAGATCAAAGTATAAGATAAGAGAAAAGGTTTTGAGAGTTTTTTGAGAGTGTAAAAAATGACCATGTCTAAAGCTCATTTACAAGTTTTTAGCATTAGAATTTACTAAGACTAGAACTAGAATTGCTTACTACTAATTCAAATTGGAATTTTAATCGATGTTTGTTTACAATATGATTAAGATTAGATTTTTATTTGGATTAATTTAGAATTATTTGATGAAAGCGTTTTAAAGGTTTTAGAAAATTAGAATATATATAGTTTTGTTGAAATTTTGATTTATTAGAGTTTATGTTTTTATGTAATTAATTATTAATTGGAAGGACTTGTATTAATTCAACTTTAGGCTACAATAGACTAAATAGAATGTTAAATACAAGAGTACATAAAAAATTAAAGATTGATAGGCATGCAATTAATAGATTGACAAAAATTACTTGGCTCATATTGATTATACATTAAAATATAGTAAGAATTAAGATTTTAAGACATAATTTAATTTAAATATTTTGTTATTAATAATTACATAATATCAAGCATGATAATTTTTTAAAAATATATCATAAGTTATAATATTGGTTTTATTTTTTTTAAATCAAAATTATCTAATGTTGTATAAATATATAGTCATTAATTTAATTTAACAAGGAAAGTTTTAGCAATACACCATCCATTACATCATGACAGATGAGTGTCTCAAAAGACATTGATCTTCACAAAGAAAGTATATGATATAAGATGTTTTTTATATTTTGTATCTATTGTACATTTAATTATTTTTGAAATAGATGCGATGTATAAATTTTTACTATGGAAATGTAAATAACGTGATATTTTATCTCAATAAATAACAATATCAAGAAAAAATATTTTTACAATGGAATGTAAAATATAACAAACGTCACCTAAATTTGGTCCCACGTCGCTTGACTCACACTGGCAGTTCCGAGCTCCGATCTTGCGGCGCCCAGTTACCAGAACGAGGAGTCTGAATCCGATGGTGCTCTGAGACCGCTGGATTCACAAGTTCAGAACATCGCGGCCGCGACGGAACGAACAACGCGCAGCCGTCGATCGGAAGTCACGTCGGAGGCGCGGCGTGGTTTGGTGTCGGAGCAAATGGTGGAATGCGGTACAATGAAATGGAGGAGCGAGTCGCAGTGAGGGAGGGAGTGAGCGAGCGAGCGAGGGAGAGGGGGGAGGAGAGGGACACCATCACTGCCAACCTCGGCGGTGCTGATTTCGCATCTGGTGTGGAGTCATCAGTCTCCTTTGACTAGTTCTCTATCTAACTCTCTTTCTCTCTTGCGCATTCTTTCGATATTGCATTTTTTCTGTCTGACGTTCTTTCGTGTTTGTTCTCGTCCGAGCTTTTACGCTTGGAGGTTTGAAAGGGGGTTTGGAGTTTTTGAGACCTCTGTGGTGTTGTTGATTAGTTGTTTTGTTTTGTTTCGTTGTGTTTTTATTTAGTATTGCATTTGTGCTTTGCATTTTTTTGTTTTTTTGTTTTTTTTGTTTTCCTCCCCCATGGTTGTACATCGCCTGCGGGTAACTGTGAGCGTGTTTCTCACGGCTTTTAGTGTTGAGGGTCGTAGCGACGGAGATTTGTGTTGTTGTGAGACTTAGGTAATGCGGGAAGTAGTTGTCGAATAGTGCATGTCTTCAGCGGAGATAGCGTAGGGTGTCGAGAATGCGCAACTGAGGAGCGTTGTGTGTGTGTGTGTGTGTGTGTTGTCTTGTTTTTTACTTTTTACTTTTTTTCTCTTCTTGTGTCGGCTTGATCCCGTTTGAGGGGTTTTTCGGTGTTGTTGTAGGGTCACAGCATTGCCATGGCCTCGCCAGCTGCCGCGGCGAAGCTACGAGAGTTGCAATCGCAGGCTGGGAACAAGGTATGCGTGGATTGTCCTCAGCGGAATCCACAATGGGCGTCGGTATCTTACGGCATCTTTATGTGCTTGGAATGTTCCGGGAAGCACCGGGGGCTTGGCGTGCACATCAGCTTCGTCCGATCTGTTTCCATGGACTCATGGTCGGAGATGCAGCTGAAGAAAATGCAGGCAGGAGGGAACGCGGCGTTAAATGGTTTTTTTGTGGAGTACGGGATCCCGAAGGGCACGGACATTGTGGCAAAGTATAATTCGAGAGCTGCAAGTATTTATCGAGAGAAGATTCAGGCGTTAGTGGAAAATCGATCGTGGAACGCTCCGCCTGTATCAAAGGAAAGCTCTATATTTTCTACCACTAAAATCCGGAATACTCAGGGGCCTGTTAGAACGAATTCCGAATGGGACGATTGGGATACCTCTGATGCAGGGGGCAATACACAAGGGCTACCACGGCGAGGGTCAGATGGCTCCATATCTGCTGGAGGTTGTAACGGACCTCCTAGTTCTCACAGTGCGGGGAATATTTACTCGAAATCGCAGCTCGAGGCGTCAGCGGCTGGGAAAGAGCACTTTTTTGCTAGGAAGCAGATGGAGAATGCTTCTCGTCCGGATAATATTCCACCATCGCAGGGTGGCAAGTACGTTGGATTTGGGTCTGGGGGTGGGCGGCCTCCTCCAACCAGGGGTCCAGCTGCTGGAGGTGACATGTTGAACGATACAGTTTCTGTATTGACTCAGGTGTGTCTGAATTTTGCGATTGGTGATGTTCACAAGTGACTCTATGATTGAATCATTTTGCATATTCCTCTTCTGGTGGTTTAAATATAGGTCATCCTGGTGCCAGGAAAAAGTTTAGGGTCGATAGCACTTGCAGTCCTAGTCCAAGTTAAGATAATATTCTCTCTTGGGGCGCAATTTTGTGATTTTTGTCGCATAGTTCCCATCATCTCTAACAGCTGTTGCATGCTGATTGTAAACTCACTACTTTCCAAATAAAATAGCGAGAATAACTAGGTACACTACTGTTTTTCATGATTTGTTGAGTTTTCAGATGTAGTCAGGGCTAATAATAGATCTTGTGCAGGGTTTTGGGCATTTGTCAGCTGTGGCAGCAGTAGCTGCGCAGAATGCAGCTTCTGCACTACAAGCAGGCTCCGGTGACATCCAAGCGAAGGTGAGGATTGTTTCTTCTATCCTTGTCTCGTTTGTGCGATTCTCCCTTATAGATCGACAGTACTTCGAATCATCTCTCATTGCCAAGACTTTCGTCTTAATTGATTGTCAGATGCCGACAATTTTGACGGTTACTGTAACAATGACTCGCAGGTACGAGAAGGAGGATATGACCAAAAATTAAATGAGACTGTTGCCGTCGTGGCAGCTAAGGGCACTAAAGTGGGACAAATGGCTTGGGGTTTCATGCGTGGAGTTATGGCCATGGCTTCACAACAAGTAGAGACATACACTAAAGATGAAATGAGTGGTTCCTCATCACAGTACGGTACAGATCATGGTTCCTCCCAACAATATAATTCTGTTAATTCTAGTGGTACTGGTTACCAGGAAATGAACGGCAGCCACGCATGGGATGCTCCCATCAAGTCCAACGACGATTGGAAGGATTGGGATACTGTGTCGAACAAACCGTCAAGAATGGGATTCGACGAAAAAGATGGGGATACCAAGAAGACGCTGGAGCAGCCAAAAACTAATAATGTATGGTCTGGATGGGATGATCAAGATCAAGAAGTCCACGTCAATGGATCTAAACCTAGTCAAAAGGCAGACGATGGATGGGGTGATGATTCTTGGGATGCTGGTTTTAAGTAAGATGTTTCTGGATATCATTGTAACACATGCTGATTCGAATTCCGTTAAGTCTCCAGGTGACGTGCACTTTGGGTATCTACCTGAGATACGATTTTGTCCATACTAGACTAAAGGTCAAGTTATAGGTTTTCGTAGTTATTGTTATGCAGCTGCACATCATTTCTGGAACATGTTTGCAGATTCAAGGATTTATTTGCATGATAGTAGTCAGGGGGGTATTACTCCCGCAGTATCTAAGCCTCAATTTATTTTGCCGCTCGCATATCTACGGTAATGCTCGGGTCTTGTTTCATACAGCTACTGCCAGAAGAAACCGGTCCAAATTTAATTGTGTCTGTACACGTACTCCAATTCTAGACAGTGTGTTAATTACATAGTAAACATATATTCATAGACCCGTTACAAACTATTTTTTAAAAAATTATGAATCTTAAGGAGAAGATCAGTTCATTGACATGGCGACAAGGTTGTGGAAATGTATTCGTGTGGTACAAATGATGCATGAATATACTCGTATCTTTCAGAACATTTTATTAACATGTCGCTGCATTTTGAATGGGAACGAATAGTGACTAATTTTCATTAAAATGTTCTGCCCACACACGTAAAAGTGTAGGTTGTCTGTACTGTGCAGGTAGCCAGCTAAATTAAACAGAAGACAGCCCTACTTCAACCAATGAGGACACAGATGAGATGTAAGTGCAGTTGTGGTTATACTAAGGCACACTCGCCCAAACCGGCACCAGTGCCTTCACCAAAAATCTCTCTGCCCAGAGGAATCACAAGTAGAATACGGCTGCCTCAAGGGACTCAAATCTCTACACTTGTCCCACCCTTAAACTAGCAGAGAGTTTGATACTCTCATCTCTGGAGTCCACAAAAGCGCATCAGCTACAGTTGATGTGTATGGTCTTCTCTAGATCAGTGGTATTTTCAACCTGGCCAGGATTATCCTCCACCTCTTAAAATGCCACCATGCATTAATTGATTCCTGAGATCACGAAAGCCAACCGTGCCAACCTACAGCAGTCAAAACGTTCTGAACAGTTTCACGGCTAAACAAAAATTAAAGCAGTTGAAGCTGACACATGCTCCATCACTGTTTCACGAGGCATAGTTGAACTGAAACTTGAATAAAAAGTCTCGAGGTCATCAAAGTATGCGCCTAAGTATCAATCATTTCATCTTGGATTTCAATTGGAGCTATAAGTCCAGGAATGCTGAGCATTCGCCTCCTTTCTGCTTCTCTTTGTACAGCAGCTTCTTCGGCATACAGATCCTTATTGTCCTGCACATCCTCTCCGCCGTGAGTGATGTTCATCCGGAAAAAAATACTATTTTGCTATGAATACCATTACTTGAAAGAAAATAGATACCGTGCAACATGCTATTTGGCATTGTACATCTTAGGAAGTTAGAATTCTCAAGCGATTGTACCTGGGCCGAGAACTCCTTGGATTGAATCAAAAAGTCACGGAGTTGGTTTTTGAAAGCTCCCAAATCACTTCGGGTTTCAAAAAGTCCGTTCACGAATGTCGTTACCTGCACACATTCAAAGCACCAAATAGGTAAGTTCAACTTAATGCAAACACCTTTACAAAGCGTAATATTCAAATGCACAGAATCTTCAAATCTCTTGTAACCAATCCTGAAAAGGGTGATCGTTTGGTTATGCAAAGCAACATATGGTACGAGAAATTTAAAACTATTACCCAGCTGGATGGCTTAAGATCACTTAAAGCTGAATGCATGACTACACACATCTGTATATACATGTATATTTCGATACAAATGACTTACCTCGACAAGAGTCATGTTGGGAAATGACGTTCCCAAAAGCTTGATAGTGTAATCCCGAACGAATTCCGTATTACTGGGAAAAGCTGCTGGACCTAATGTTGCTGCGTCCCAGAGCGGTTGTGTGAGAGTCGATGAGTCAACCTGAATAAACCAGAGGGACTTAGAAGTACAAAGAGACATGAAAAAAGGGACAGGAAATCACGATAACAGAATATGCAAATATACAAGGTGTAGAAAAGGATCGTAAGAAAAGGCGATACCAGGCAAAATAAGTGTTGTAGAATCAAGACATGTAGTTTGAATCCAGGCTTGTGGAAGGTGTCGGTCAAGACTGCAAATACTTCTTGCTCAATAGTGAGAAAATAGGTCTGATGGAACTGGTTGCAGAACTCTGACGCCTGCACCACCAATCAAAACGTAAAGAAAGCATTAACAAAGTTGGTTTCACACATACTTAGCGGCAATGAAGGTACTATTAACAAACCCGAGACCATAAAGAAAATACAAAACTACAACAAATACGTAAACTAAATGCATATGTTCTCTGGCATGCAGACTGCTATGTGTAAAGTTGAAGATTACTTGGAAATTCGTAAGCATTTCAAGGAGAAGGTTAAGGCCAGTTTCTGCAACATTACGCTCCGTGTGACGGAATGCCCAGATGATCGAATCCATTACTAGTTTCAGTTGCTGGCAAAGGGAGACAAGAATCAAATACACATCCAAAACTTCAACAAACTTAGAAAGATCGTCTTTACTAATCGTTATCAGATGATGGAGACTAAAGCAATTCAAATAAGCAATCAAGGACACTTTGTTTAATAAAACGGGCAGAAGACAAATCTCAAAACATGATGGCACGGATTAGCCATGGGATAACAACTTACTTGACTCGATAAAGTGAAAAGCGCACGGAAACAGTGGCTTGCAATTGCCCGTAACAAGGAGAAGAACTTCAGACGATGCTCTGGGTAGTCCTCAAAGTTTTTAGTTATCATCTATACAACCAGAGTAAAATGTTAGGTTCGCAGCTCAAACTGATAGATCCTTAACCAAAAATCTACAAAAATCAGAAATGATTCGATACACAGAAACTCCTTGAAAAGAAAGCGCACCTCAAGAGTGCATGCAAAAACAGCTTCGAAGATTCGCGGTACATCATCCATCATGACGCTTTTCAATCTGCAAAACAGCTCAAAATATATTACAATACACTGCTTCCATGTACCATGTTACATCTTGGCAGCTTAAGAGGGGAGCACATACGTACCCATATCTTGTCATACATGATACAAAGTCAGTACACATAGTCATGCTAGAAACAATTTCATCACGTTCAATAATGAGATCAAAACCAAAGATATCCCTAAATAGGTGAAAAGCAAAATAAGATGAAGCTGTACTACGTACTTGTTAATAATAGTGGCGAACAGAGAGAGAACTTCAGATTCACGTGCGTCAGACACATTACGAGCATAATCACCCAGGATGGGATCCATCATGGCTGGCACAAAGTTCTTTGCAATCAGTTCGGCATCTTCTGCTTTATCCACAAAGGTTTCGATCAATTTCAAGGTTTCCCGCTTCACAGACCTGCAAAATAATACACGTGTTCAACTACACAGCTGTTGGGATTGACTTTGTTTTAAGTACACACATGGTGATGCAGTCGACTCAGAAGACATGCGCAGGCAACTGACGTTGAAAGGATTGAACAGAAACAACGTATCTCTTCACCTGAGAAGCTTGACAAATGAGGTCCTGGATGCATAAGGTCCTCCCTCAGCAATGCTACTTGATATGAGCTCACTATACATTCTGCATGCGTGACGACAGTTGCTTTAATGTCCAGTACTTTAATACAGAAGTATCTTCAACTAGACCTAGATGCAGCAGCAATAATTTTCCAATTACAGACAAACATCGAAGACACAAAGGTTCTGTAAGATAAAGCCACTTCACCTATAGACATTCAGCATATCCAAGTAGATCAACGATATCTGAGCTAGGAAGGACTGACCAAGGGCGCTAGCAACACTGGTGTTTAACTGCGCACAAATGAAATCCGCGTCGAGGTTAGATTAGTAACCATCACCCAGAAGATGTAGCAGCTTAATGGAAAGGTAGTAGAGTTACGTAAATTGTGGAGGAGGGCTTCTTTATAACAAGAAACTCATGGTTACACCAGACATAGAGACGTAAAAATCTTACCTGAAGAATATTAAGTACAGCTCGTACAACTTCTGTTGATTTTAAATACTCGACACTTTGACGGGCTTGATTGATGATCTCTACCCATCTCTGCATCGAGCAAAAACATCAGACAATTTGTGAAAAACAGATTATAACCAAATGATCCACAAGCATTGAAATCAAATCTTCAGAATAGAACAAAGTCAAAAACAATACTGACAGGAAAACACTACCAGTAGATTAATGCTATTAAAACTTTGTTTTGCGTTATGTAGCCGAAAGATGTGTACAAAACTTAACCTGGTTCGGAAGTTCCATAAGCTTTTGCAAGTACTCATCCCGTCTTTGAGGGTCCGATTCAGCTTGTATCATGAATCCAACCTGGGATTAGAAGACACGCCTAGGTCAAAAGCTTGTAATAAACTCTCATCCCATATGATTGAAAAGGTACAGTGAAAACTGCCAATTGTCTGTCCACATAAATCAAAGACAACCCACAATGGGCACAGGAAAAATCGCCGACGACGATAGAACATACAGCTAAAGAACTCGTAAATGCTGCGACTGAAGTAAAAAATCTAACAGGACTATGCACATACAGCTTCATAAAAAGTGTGAATTTGATGGGCTTCCAGATCCAAAATGGTAGTAGGCAAACCCTTCAGAAGCTCACACACAAAAGGCTCTGTCTCCCCAACCTACAAATGCACAGGAGATGAATTTAAGAAGGATTAGCATCACCTTGAAACGGTAGAAAATAAAGGCATTGAGTATGTCTAGGTGTAGAAGTGAACACATGAATAAGCCACTTATGGCCATTTTGCACAAAAAATGATTGTTCTAATCACGATACTGCATTTCCTAAACACCAGTGATAATACAAAACCCACATGAAAAAGGACAATACAGCGTTAAATGCTAATCAAACCAAGTAGTCATCCATGTTGTGTGGTATTGACCTGAAGAATGACAAATTTCCTTCTACATTTTTGAACTATCTTCAAAAATGTATCACAAGCCATATCCTGAACAGTCCAACAAAATAAGTGAAAAGGGTGTTCAATTTCTAAACAAACTTCTTCAATGTCTAATTTCTAGACAACTCATATAATCTAGAAGTTCGAAACATAAGCTCTCACGATGTACACGAACAGGCTCACTTTTTTTGATCCAGACAGGCTATTAGTAAAACTGCCAACACTAGAAGAGTTCTTGAAATGATTAGTTTCCATAAAGAGACAACAGATACCAAATCTTGGAACTGAAAGGCTAGATCAGAAACCTGTACACCAGGATGGGTTTCATGCATGAACTCGAAGAGCTTATTGACCACAGTCTTCAGAAACTTCCAATGGGCCCTCAAAAACCGAGGATACTGGCCCACAACATACCTGACCAAGTAGAGGCAACATAATTATTGTTCGAGATAAGATTGAATTACGAAGGAAATCAATCAATATTGAATGTAAAGTGCCGTAATCACACTCTCACAAAGGCTGCAATAATATCTTACATAGCAGGAATCCATAACACACGCCCATGTGTTCCTTCGACAAAAAAATTGGAATGTTTTAATGTTTAGACAGCAAAAAGTAACGGATTAGACCAAAAAGCCATGAGTGTAGGTGCATACATGATATTGCTAGCAATCACCGCCTTGTTGTCCTTGCCCTTCGTGATCTCACATAGATTAAGGAGGTCTCGAATCACGGTGACGAGAAAACGATTTTCCTGGTCCACCGAATTGCCATTAAATCCAGATTATGTTGGAGGATGGAAAGATAAATAAATGGATAAAACCCGAAACAAAACCAATCCATAAACCCTGATCAAAACTTGGGACCTCAGATAAAATTTAACATATCACTGCATCATACAAGGAACTGACCAAGTCACAACTAGCGGCATTACACCTTTCTACAACCTAACATTAGAAGGTACGCTGTACAATCGACTGCAAAAAAGTACCTGGTCTTCAACCATGGAGCCTGATATGGAACCAATAGCCCAGCAGAGTGTGTTCAAATTATTCCAAGCCCACTCCTCACCATTCAATTGCTTGTTCAGCTTCTTAAGCATCTGCACAAATCACAATATTGTCAGACAGTACGGTAAAGATTAACCAGAAACCACAAACGACAACTGATAGTGCAAAATATAGTCTACCACCACGTAAACGGCTGTAAATATCTACTAGAAAGTAAAAACTAAGATTACCTGCTGCTCTGTATCTTCGTGGTCCAAATGAGACAAATAAATCAAAGTCTCCCTCATAATCTGGTTGATCATAGCACAAAGAGTTAGTCACAACGTATATCATTTACAAGTTCAGATGCAAAGCCAGACACTGGCGACCAAGACAAAAGGCACCAAAACAAAAACATAAATACGAGTACATAAGAAACATGGAATTCTGAAAATGATTATGTGATATGCATTCTTGTAAGAACATATGAAGCAGGTGATGAACGCGACCAAGTAAAGAGATAGGAAAGAGGGAACACCTTATACTGTACAAGGACATCGTTGTCTTTCATAGTCTCGCGGACGATATTGCCATTTTCATCTTCTACTATCAAAACTTCCTCGGGCTTGGCCATGCGACTGATCATAAGCAATCTCAACTTCGACAAAGGTCCCGAGTACAACTGCTTACGACGAGAAAGCTGCGCCCCCATCCCATTCAACTGGGACATAGAAACGTGACAACCAGGGCATATGTCAACTACAGAGTTCATAATATGACATCAATTTTGTAAATTCAATGGTCATAGAGAACATCTGGGCTGAAACACAACTAACAGAAAATGAGAATGAATTCTAAGAGCTACACGTCCCAACACAATGGAATTCCGCAGCTTCTATTATCAACACTTCTCACGGCTGACAACAGAGAACAAACATTGTCAACAAACGTGTAAACCCTTTGTACCTGAAGGCCAAGTGGACTAGACGAGGCAGGAGTTTCCATATTGCATTCTGACTGGAAAAGGTCACATACGAGGGAATTCCAGTAGTCCAGGCAAACCTGAGAAGGTCCAACCCACACTTAACTGTCAACAGTAATCCGTCACCATCAGGAAAACAAAATATTCAAACAAATCAACCACCACTACTTCAAGCTAAGTAGGTGAGTACGACAAAGAAGCCACAAGAACAGTATGATTGAGTACCCAACGGAACTTCTTTTTCTTGGGCAATAAAAAGTTTCAGAATTAGGATGCAATGCTTTTTCACAAACACTCTTCGAATTAGACGCAGGTATATGTGATTGTCTCAAGCACCTTAGAGTTCCAATAGCACCGCATTCTTTATCTTTTGCAACAAGTAAAAAGGTCAAAACTAAAATGCCGACAGAATTATATTTTGTGCAATTTTTTTATTTCCTATATCTAACATAGAAAGGCAAGCATACCTTAAAGACCTCTGTATCATCAACATATGAAATTCCGATCAAGTACTCCAATCCCATCAACAAAGCAGTTTGATTCTCTTGATTGGACTCCAACACCCCAATGTGCGACTGAAACAGCAAGCATCGGAAGATTAGAGCATACTGAGCACGTAGCAAGTGTCCAAATCGTAGATCCAAATTCCTTCTTGAAATAAAAGACGCATAAACAGGCAAACACTGGTTTCAGAAAGAAAACCTTGAAAAATGCGGTGAAAAACATTGCCAGATTCTGTATAAAGGCCTGTAATGAGAGCAAAGTACATAAAAAACAAATAAGGAACATTACACCAAAAGATAATGCACAAACAACAGCAAAATATTGTAAATAGCCCATTCAAGCTCAGTTAACTATTAATTTTCAGTGATAAATCATACCGACAAGCCAGCTTTCTCAAGTGTATTAGAAGCGCTGCAGAAAATATTTGGAATATGAAAATTTGACCATAATTTGAAAGAAAGAAAAACAAGACAGGTGTTGATTAAATAAAAAATCACAATAGTACCCATATAATCTCTAAACTACAGATTCATGAATAGTTGATGAAAAAAACCTGGTCCTCATCCGTGCCGTTCCCATACGACTCTGGGACATTGGTACCTGGTGGAAGAATCATCTGCAAAACATGCTCTTTATAAGCTCATGCATCGGTCCAGACACGTGAACACATTCAACGTCAAAGTCGAAGAGAAAACTGAAGCAACAGGACGCCAGACTTGAACAATGCAAAAACACATGTCGCAAAAACAATCTGTTCTGAAATACTTCTCCGACCAACACTATTGTTAGTGGAAATATGCATAATTTCAGATAATAAAAGAGAAAGGCGCTGTACCTGGAGCTGCGCCGTAAAAATGGTGTAAAGTTTCACGAATTGCGCGTCGTAGAAATCTCCAAAACTGAGGACAGCAACCTGCACAGTTACTACTAATTCAGTTCACGACCAACCAGCACATGAGAGAAAACAAGAGTCCCTTATTTCTAATAAAAACGGAAAAATAAGAAACCACATTTAGAGACAAATGAAACAAAGTGAAAAGTGACACTAATTACCTCAGTCAGACATTGCAAAGCCAAATTGCGATAACCAGCGACAGGAAAGAGCTTCAATAAAGTCTCCAGCTGCAAGTGCAGAATACGACCATGAAAGGTTACAAGTGAATAGACGCTGCTTAGTCCACCGAACACGACGCTAGTTAAGATACTGACTTGCAAGTCGAACATGGCGAATACTACTAGTTACATAATTAGGATCGTGAAGCATAAACAAAAATAAAGAACACTCACCAACGCTGATTCAAATATGTAACCAAGTGGAATCCAGGATAGAAAAGCATGTAGAGTAGCCAGTGTTGCTCGGATAAGTTCAGGGCGTTGAGACATTGACAAAACGTATTGACACAATTCATGAATGAGCTGAAATTCACTGTCGATCCATGCAATGTTCCCAAAATTAGTAAAATTTCAACTCCAGCCAACGACTTGTGATGGGCACGTAAACACAACTAACTCACACTTAGTTTAAGCAACAAGGACGGTGGTCCAAATCTTCGGACAATTCAAAACAGATATCAATGTCAGATACAAGTGTCATGTTAGGCACTTAATTCAATCACAAGCAACCCAACAAGTTTATGCTCCAGCCTGTAGAGCAAACACCTTCAGCCGTAAACAAAACGTAACATACCTGTTTAAAGAATTCTTTAATTCTTTGATCTTACTTTGAGTCAACTCTCCTCGTGAAAAATCGAATACCTCTTCGCTGAGGAGCTGCAATTCAATAGTTAAGTGTGTCAGTCTTTTACAGACTCATGCAGAATCAGTTCAAACCAAAACAGGTCGAATACGCATACTTAATGCGAGCGGAAGCATCGAGTACAGAACCGAGATTAAAATATAATAATGATAATAATAATAATTCAGACCTTCAATATAACCATGCAATTTTCACAAAGAGTCTCGCTGCTTTTAGCAGCCGACACGAGATCCGGAATAAATCCTGGCCATCGCGCAGGCCACTCATGCTTCAAGACCTGTGCAAAAGCCATATCAATCCGAGTGACCACCGTATCAGCTGCCAGTAAATACTCGCTTCAGTGTACACACAAATGGGCAGTGCACACGGGAGGGCACTGCAGGTGAAAGTATATCATCAGTTCATCAAAGTACGAACGCCACATCACAGAACTTAAAAACCACTAAGAACTAGTGCCATTACGTACTGATAATACATAGAATGACATCGCATAACTTGATTTTAGATTAAAGCAAGTAGAAACGCACCTGAACAAGAATAATATTCAATTTGTTCACGTACAACCGCTCTGTCCGAAACGACGCTTCGTTGCTTGAGAGCTGGAATCAAATGTTATACGATTCACAGAATGAGATGGTGGAAATCTTTACGTAAATTCCAAGCTTTGAAAGATAGAGGATATGGACAAAGTTACTGAAAATAAATATTAATTAATAGAGAAAACCGTACTAAATAGCCAACTGAGATATACGGACAGTGAAAAAGGAAGAGCAATCTAAAATATACCTGCACAATAAGGTCCGATATGTAGTTTTTAATGCCATCCCGTTGCTCTACAGGTAGGGCGTTCCATCGATATTTAATAACTCCCTCTAGAACCTTCGCAACAGAAATAAACGACAACAACAATGAAAGCTTAATAATCTTCTATATATAATAAGATACATAATACACCTGTGAATTAGAAATAAAAACATCAAATAAGATATAGTAAAATGTCAACAAAATATGAGAATTAACACCTCTGAAGTTCCTGCTAAACCACACGGACATACGCGTACCTGAAGAGCATAGAACTTGGAATTTGGAATGGAAGAGTTCTGAAGTATTGTTACAACTCGGGTCCACGTATCCGGATGCTCTTGTAGCTGCCTCAATACCCTCTCGGCAGCAGCTCTCTGCGAGGAAATGATCAACGTGGGCACAATACAGTTCAGTTTCCAGTGACGCTGAATGTACTCTGCTGACATTCTCAGCAACATGTACTCAGCAAAACTGCTCAGGTTTCGAAGAACCAGGACATTTTCAAGATTATGAATCCAATCCATAACAACATCGCCTCTTCACAAGCACACGACTTCACTGTCCTACCATTACACTGCGACCCTGTTCCACACGGTATGAACGTACAAATCGCCCCCATAACACAAACCACAAACCTCACACTACCACTCCAACGTCCGTTCTCAAGACCGCATCCCAATCCATATCCACATCCTTCCCAATCAAAGCCACGCCATCATCACCACCCTAGTATTTTGCCTCCTCATCATCTCTCCAACGACTCCCCCCCCCCCTTTCCATCTGCCTCCCAAATTGTCCACTATCTCTATCCATGCACATTCCTCTCCGTGTGCACACACCAGGCCCAAAACCATTGTTCCTCTGCATCACGCACTTGGCTTCCACGACCACCTCACACGCATGCTCACCCTCATCCCGCTCATCCCCACCCTGCCCTCATTCTAACGTGCGCCAGGCCCACTGCGCCATCTCAAAATGCTTCCCTACACAACCCTGTCGCATGCTTCCCAGGGAATGCCTCTATGCTCTAACACCGTATGCTGCTCCCACTCGACCTGCTCTCCGCAATAACACCCCAAACAATTGACCTCCCTCCCGTTTTTACCCCATGTCAAACGATTCACCAAGCACTCGCACCCCCCCCCCTCCGCATTCACTCAGAGTCCATGTAGACTACACCACCAAGTGCTACACGACCAATCATATTCGCAACCTCGTCACTTTCAGGTCCATGCGAATCGCAGTAATTCTCTCAAAACTTGATCCCTACTACGAACCATTCCGTAATCCTCGATCACACCACTTTCCCAACTTACCCCTCATCACCCTCATCTCCACAACCCAACCCAATCCCCAAAGAGTTTTACTACAGATACTTATCTGCCTATGCTCCGGGAAAGGGCCCATAATGACACACATCACTGCACAAGCCTCACGAAAGATGCAACTCAAAATGCAGACTATCACACACCATTCATGACATCAATGTTGTGCGACCCAACCATGAACATTTTGAATGTTGATTCAGCTTTGGAGACCGCCCATGATTCAAGAACCTAAATGCACGGGCAGCAAGTTCTGGTAGAAATACGACGATGAATGCTGAAAGGGACCCACACTATTAGGGCGCACACCCTAGATACAGAACGAAGATCAACAGGCTTGCGTCGAGGGGGTTGAAGGACGATCGCAGCAAAGATCAGCCAGAAGGACAAGAAAATTAGCTCGATTCATACATCTCCTCCTAAGGGACTACAATCCTCACGACCAAAGTATTCAATGGTATCCCTGCTTCGCTCAATCTCCCCTCCACCCCGAGGTCATGTAAATGTGAAGAAATCCACATCAAAAACGAAACATACCTCTTCTTTCGAACCTGTTCCATAAAACGCTGCGACGGTAGCATCGAGAAGACCGACGTCAAAGGGCTGGGTGAAATCCAGGAGCTTCTCTGCCATAGTGCACACCGTTCCTCCGCTCCCCCGCGCAAGGAGGGAGACCAACGACTAACCCTGCTCCCCCTTCTGTCGTAGTTACTTGATAGAGCACCAAACCACTAGGAAACTCACTGAAATGGAAGAATAAAAAAAGTAAAAATTAAAAAAAGAGACAAGCGCCGTTCCAGCACTTATCCACCACTGCTAACCCTACAAAACCACACCACAGCTTTCAAGATCCTCTGCTCCCGCACCGTAATGCCACACACAAAACCTCCGACAACCGACCTGATAGATCCTCACTCTCTCTTGTCCCTCTCACGACGAGAGATACAGCCCGCGCACAGCAGCCAAGAAATTGAAGGTTTTGGCAGGAGAACAGTGGCACGAGACTCAAACGGTCAGATGGCGATGAACTCCTGACTGCGCAAAGGCTAGTACATATTTGATTGGGTGATGGAGGACTTGAGATCCCGAGGGAGAAGGGGGGGAAGCTTAAACCCTAAGGCGGGGCGTCGCTGAACACAAACGACGAGCGATCGTTAAATGATGATAAGTTAGTTCATGACAAACTTCGGTAGCCCGCGCTCCCGATCCCAGCACCCTCCGACTCCCGTGAAAGCTTCTAGAAGAAGAAGAAGAAGAACCAGAACCAGGACGGGCATCCAGGCAGCACTGGCTCCCATCCCCCCCCCCCTTTTCTCCCCACTGCAACAATGTAGAATGATTCATGTCAAAAAACAGAAACAAACACGTAGATTACTTTCTGCGTTCTAAACAATAGAACAACTATCATTAAGTAAGCTAATTTGTTTTGTCAGTTATGACATGTTAACCCACGTTATATTTGGTATTTTGAATCATTAGATCAACTTGAATGTTTATATGTCATGACAACACATACTGTTGTATTGTAATTAATACTAACATTTGTATATATAGTGTTGAAAACTTTAGCTGGATCAAGCAAAATATGATCATTGAAGCATTTTTAGTTATTCCTACACATTTCTATTGAATGGACAAAATCATTCAAATACATACTTAGATATTGATTTATTAATGAATTATTTTTTATGTATTTAAATTACACACACACACACACATATATATATATATATATATATATATAAAAGCGTGTATGTGTGTGTTTTGATTGCATCCCGAATTTAAGGAAAACAACGCAATATTTTTTCAATACAGGATTCGCCATCCAAGTCTCAAACCCAACACTATGTTAAGATAGTCGTGTATGGAATAAACTTGCAAAAACAATGCTGACAATTGCTGCACAATAAGATCTTATTGTTATTTTTTTATTTTGTCAAAATTTTCGACTTATTAGTGAAAATAATAAATTAAATACATGGATTCCAAAGGCTCTGACGTGGAATGATAAAATGAAAGTGAGGAATTTGTGACCCGTTGAATTGTAAACTCCTCCCAATTTCCCCCTTCTATGGCTCGAAGGCATGCTTGATAAAGGATTTTAATAGATAGGTAGATAAAGATAAAGATAAATATGAGTGACGTAATGATTTATTTCCGTTCTCAGCATTCGGTATGCGGAGTTCTCGCATCGCGATAAAAGATAGGGAGAGTATTGGAGAGCCAATGATGAGCTTGTTGAGAAAGAAATTTCGTACATCTAGCTCCAGGGGGTGGGGGGTAAATCTAATCGGGAACGAGGATCAACGGCGCCGGCAATGCTTTCAAGGTCGCGGACTTCCTACGCGACTAGAGACCGACGGTGTTCACGAGCTCCCCATGTTTTCAAATTTGTTCCCATCAAGTTCCCAGTTGCTGGGGGTTGCTGAGTTGGATTTCGCGCCACGACTTCTGACACAAGCTGGATTTTCCCGCCATGGCTTTTTCTAGAATTGTGTCTGACCCTACGAATAGTGATGTTTTCGGAGGACGATGGATATGGCTGAATGCGAGACGAGTTATGAGAGGAGTTGCCGGTTGGAGAGAGTCAGTAGTCGTTGCGCAGTGCGCGTCCCATTGAAGCTCCACCTCCAATCCTCATTTTCCCTCTGTCATGAATAGGCCCGAGTGAGAATTTATACCGTTTCGCTCGATCGAATGAGCTGGATTGTGTTGAAACTTTTCTCTGTTGCTGAAATTTCCAACGATGTCATACTCTAACCGTTGCTTTGATTCCATTTGAGTTCGTTGGTTTGGTGATGTTAACACGAGGTCGTACGCCAAGCAGACCTGAAGTATTCTATCTTCCGAGCGGGAATGGATCGCGATGCTGGAGTCTACTTACCTGCACGTTCGTGTATTGAGTTGCTGTTTGCAAAAGCAGAAATGTGATCGAAAGGTTCTTAGCAATGGTTGAATCAATTAATTCTTTACATATACCATCCAAAATGAATATATATATATATATATATATATATATATAAAAGTATATTTATATTTTCCAACTTGTTGAGAAACTTTAAAAATTTTCTACCGCTAAGGTGCTTCGCAACGGCGGGCAATTAAAGTCGTGGATGATCCAGTGGTGTGCCTCCAGAGGTCTTTGCTCGGGTCGTGGCTCCGTTAGAGCTCTAGAACTGTAAGGATTAATTTGTACGTCGGCTGGAAACTTAATTCGCAAGGGAAGATCTGAAAGTATACGATTCGCTGTCGGGACGGATTGTAACCCTGTTCTCGTCAAGAGAAATGAGTTGGCGCAGGCTTTTGAAGTTGCTGAGGATGGGTTAGACTATGATGGTATTGGGGAGGGCGAAGACTAGACTGTGGACGTGTCTAGTGTAGTGGATGAAGGAAGCACACGTACAATTGAGACATTGGAGCTCATATATTTGTGCTGCCGCTTTCAAATACTATTGCAAACTCTACTTTTACGTTTGTAGTGAATCAACTTTGCAGGGAGATCACGTGTAAGATTCCGCTGAATACATTGCGTCATCCAATCCGAAGCACATGCTTTGCACTGATAAGAGGTAAAGAAACATTCACCACACAGGAAGGCAGCTGCAATGTCAGCTGCCACAACCTTGGTACGAAAACTACTTGCCAAACTACTTTGTATTAGTACGCGATAGTCAAGTCTACGGATTTGGTGTTCCTGGCCGGAGTGCATTAACGCCAACTATTATTGTAGAGGTTGAACAGTTAGATCAGCCAGGCGACTATACTACTTATTAAGCTAAGCTTCAAGTATAAATCATTCTTCCCTGAATGTGTGTGCAAATGTGATTTGGATTCATTATATACTCGACGAGTATGTGGTTTCATGAAGCAGTTCCAGTCTGTGGTTACAATCTTTCTGGTCTATCAAATCCGTACCAGTTGCTTTATACTACCGAGAAAGGTATCACTAGGGATATGCAATGATGCTGACAGTGTAGTTTAGTTGATTGGCCACTTGCAGTGACAGATGTCTGTCGAACCTGTTGATGTTTAAATTGCATCAACTCGATGCGGATGGACCTGTGGGCTAGCATATCTCGGTTTGACCTTGATATTTTTCTCCATCGCTTGCAGGTAACTAAGCTTATTGCCCTGTCTATTGAGCAGGTCAATCATTCGTGAGTCAGCTCATTAGAATTATTAGTGGAATCAATTACAGAATGGTGTCTGACTCTTGATTGTTAGGCGTTTAATCTGTCAGAAGCATAATGGCCAGCAACATGTTGTCGAAGATTGGAAGAGTACAATGCTCCGTGATGCTATACCTCATTGGGAGAGTACCAACCTTTGGCTTCAGTGCAAGTTCAGGAGCTACGACTTTCATTGCTGGCTGTCTCCTTTGTGATACGTACTTGTTCTCTCGCGAGTTGCTGAAAGAGGTTACCTACTATCCTTGTGTTCATCATGTGGTACTTGGCTTATCTGTAAATGATTTCTTTTTGTTGGCGGGGACTGCTGGATGGGTTGCTAATGATGTGATGAGCTATCAAACATTACAAAAGCCCCACGCTGCGATGTAAGATTGATGAGAGATTGAGTAGGTTTATCCCATATCGCTCCAAGCTTTAATATTCTTTCTTGTACTGTGTTGATGGCTTTTGTGATGACACAAAGATACAAATTCATGTGAATTTGAGCAGAATGTTGCTTGGTCTTTTTGATAATGACTTTGTCATGAATGTACGAGTAAGCTAGTCTTTGGCTTAGCTAGCGAAAAGCCAACATCCATAGAGGTAGTAGTTAATTCCTTCACGAATTCCTTTAATCACTGTTTGCGTCTGCTGAACACTGCTGTATTGTGAAGTATTTGAAGCCCAACCCAGAACCATGACGGTGATCCGTGTCAGTCTCTGAATTGGACATTGTCATCATTCCATTTGAAGTTTATTCCATGTGTGCAGTCTAGCGAGGCACATAATTCCTAACAGCTGATTCCATTTAACCACTTAGTGGATGCCTTGTGTGTAACAAGGTAAAATCATTTTCTCACTTCCACAATGCTCTCATAAGTCCGTGTGTAGATCAGAAGCGTGGAGGTATGATATTTTCCAGGTTATTGTCTACATCGTAGTGAGTAGTGTGCATTTTCTTCATGTGGAAAATGTGAGTTTTGCCCATCATGTCGGGGAACAAGTTTTGTTACTAACAGAAAGACATCCGACCTTGTTCTCTTTCCTCATGTTGTAAGATGAAGTGTTCCATGAATGTGTGTAAAGTATCAGCGCCTACGTGGAACTTGCGTTCACTCTACTGGAGCATGTTAGGTCCTTTTGTATTGCAAAACTCCCATAAACAGCAGAAAATCAACATGTGTTGAGAAATTGCCTTTCAATAGGTGTATGCCTCCTGCGGATGCTGTAAACTGCATATACAATTCAAATGCATGTGATAAAAGCGTAGCAAGCACCTTTAAATTACTCCTGCAGCTGAACGAAGGAGAATAGAAATTGTACCAGGATTTTATGCTTTTATTGACTGTCTAATCAGTGACAGGAAGAATATCTCTGTAATACGATTATTTAACTGAATTTTCTCATTATTAAGCAAGAAATTTGCACGACCCCATAGTTGGCATGTAATTCAGCGGCTGACATTTTCGTCTGTGCTTTAGTATGAACAAGTTTTCCTGACAGCTGAATACCAGAACTAACCAATTGCAAGCCAATTAGGTAAGATAGATGGATAGTATTGCCATAACCGCATGAAAAACTGCTTGGGGAAGTATTGTATGGTCAGTAGAAATGTAACAAAAACATTTATTTCACAGAATGCGTATCCCTCTTGATGCTGCAAACTTATCCTAGTCGCACAGCGCACGCCATCTTCGACGTTCTTAAGTAACAAGAGTGAGAATTAGGACTTCTACAAAACTTAAGCACTTTAAAGCCTCTAATTCATCTTCAATAAGTAATACCAGCTTCCGTCTCCTGACTGGCACTAACGTAGTTCCCCCTCTACCGCAAATATATCCATTAAAGTTTCTTTATCATTGACCTTAATCCGGTTTCAATTCCTGCTAATTTTTCAATGAAAGCTGCATCCAGCATAACCTGCACACCCGACGACACTCACATGAGAACAATCTTCGGAAACGGATTCAATCCGACAAAAGCCAGATGAACGTGTGATTGGAATTCGAGATGCAGACATACGTCACATATCATTGCCATGATTAATGTAATAACTTCTCAGCCAACTATATCGACTTCTTCACATGGAAACTGACGGAAGGTGCGGATTTTGAGCGACGTACTTGGATCCGTGATGGTGATCACACCCGTTCCTCCAAAGTAACAATTCCAGTAATTTCTGCCCATTTTCTGATAATAAACGTTGAACGCGAACGAAGCGTGCGACAGTAAAGTGTTGGGGTTGTAACATGGTCCTCCAGGCTGAATGGTTCCACAGTCTGCTCCACCTTCACCACAAGCGAAATTCAGCGCATTCGCGACGTCCCTCTCAGACGAACCCGGCTTCGCCACGCACCATGTCTTACCCGGATTGCCGCCCTGCGCCGGGGCGGTATATGGAGCAGGATGCACTGGGGTTACGACTGGCGAAACAGGCGGTGAGTAAACCGGCGGTGGAATCGATGGTAACGGAGGCGGGAAGACTGGTGTCGGAGGAGGTGGGTAAAGGACAGGGGTTGGGGAGATAGGGGAAACGTAAGGCGGAGTTGCAGTCGCCGGTGGATACGTGTTTGTCACAATGCCGAGATTGTAGACTAGTGATTTGTCGGCGTTAAAGAGGCCGAAGAACCGCTCAGATCCAGGTCCGGGCTTCATATTCTCATTGAACAGCGCGAAGATGTACGCGTCGACAGACGAGGAAGGTCTCAGTGGGGTCCCTTTGTTGGATGCGATGTACTTCAACAGATTCTGATTGTAAATCTGAGCGTTGGTGGCGCTGGCGGCAATCTCAGTAGGATCGCCACTGGAGGGCCAGCCAGTCTCCGAGATCAACACCGGGATGTTGTGGTAGCCGAACCGCTCCATGGCGGAATACACCGCATCCAGCTGTGCGTCGAGCATGTTGTCGTAATGCAGGCCTGTGTTGACGTCCGTGACACCCGTATCGGGCTGAAATAAGGCATAGTTGAGAGACACGTTCTTGGGATCGTCGCGATATGCGAAGTAGGGGTAGAAATTGATCATGATGGGGTTGTTAGTAGTCGATAGGAATGCGAGCAGGGACTTCAATTCATTGGAAATGTTCGCCCGAAAGGTGCCGGATGATGGAGGGAAGGACTTCTGCAGAACCTGAAGGTTGTGGGGAGTGCCCACCTTGATGGTGTCCAGCTTCAGGTTTACCAGAGCGGTGTGAATGTTCATCATAGCGGGGACGAGCTGAGAAGACATTTGGGGAGAGGTGGTGAAGACTTCGTTACCGACCGCTAGGGCGGTCACTTGAGTTGCCGGCATATGTGCGGCGATGTTGGATTGCACCCAGGACTGCGCGGCGGCGGGACTGCTAGCGAGAAGGGGGATGGATTCGGTCCCTATTCCAACAACAAGCCTGATATTCGTATTCGCGAAGGCCTCCATTATGGCTTTGTCGGCGTTGTAAATCTTGACATTCCGAAGGGAAGTGGAGAGGAGCAGCTGGGCGACTTGGCTTGGGGTCGGCAAGTTATTGCCGAGGGTGCCATAATTGACGCCCACGGAGCCGCCAGTACAGTCTGTGAGCGGCAAAGTAGTGATAAAGTAAAACTCAGATGCAGTAAATGAAGGAGTGACGGATCGAGTCGAGGAACTGCTCATGGCTAAGTACAGCTTGATACCCACGTAGAATCGAGTTCTAGAGGTATATCATAACATCTTTGCGTGACAGATTTGGCATGGACGAAGTTTGAGGCAATGGTCACATCGAAAGTGAACTTCAAGTAATCACGAGAAGACTAGACTTAAAGGGATGCGGGTACTTTGGAATACCACTCCATGAAATCAAAGCTTGTAATGCATCAGTAGCGTTACTATAGATACATGGCTAGCAATGACCTTGAAAAGAACCACATAGAAATGGGTACATCTACATTGAGCTAGAATCACATTTACGATTAGTTGCGGAATAGTGAATCCAAGCGAGGCAGTGGAGGGCACCAGGAATCTGTTGAGCCGAGTGTACAGGATAGAAACCCAAACAATTGCGTGGAAAACAAGATGAGACTACCTAAAGTTAATTTAGAGTTGGCCACACTGAACATCCCAAACAGAATCAACACCTGACCTAGCCACCCCTTGCAATTTTTCAATGCAGATGTTATTGTTCAGAAGAGCTCGACAGCAAAGTTCACAAATTAATCATGTAAATTATCAATCACCGACTTCTCGGGCAGATATAATTGAAAATATTGGAACAGTTTTGTACCTGCTTGGGGAACAGAGAAACAGGCAAGAAGTACGACCGCGAGCTTAATGCAGCTCATGCGATGCATTGCGACCATCACCATCCTCTTCATGAGCTCCACGAGGACTAAACCCCCAGCTTCCTCAACTTAACAACCAGCTCACCACCACTGCACTCTCTAGTTAAGCTAACATTGCCGGAACACGAATCGACACCCGCAACTGATGAGCATGTAACTCCACCCAACGTGAGCTGCACCCCACAAATCCCCAGATAATCTGCTGCAGCTAAAGTATTATAATGCAGCCCCACCTCCAACACCATGCACCAGCTAACCCAACGGTGGCAATGGCACCCACATGCTCTGAAGTTCAATGCTGCCAGCATGTATGGACAGATATGTCTGCAGCAACTGCACACAAGAGATGCTAAAAGGGGGCTACAAATACACGAAAGCAAAGTGCCCGGACTTGCACCGGCTAGAGCATGAAGCGGTGGGGTAGCTGAGCTGCAGATGCTAGGGGTGGGATGAACGATGATGAACGACGTTAGTGTGGCAGACGCTTTCACAGGAAAAAAACGGAGTACTCCGGCAAGAACGGATGCTCTCGATGAGTTGGCTTGGGGCAGGTGGCGGCCACTGTCACCCTGATACTGGAATTCTGGAGCGCGGACATTGATCAGAGCCGTCCTCTAAGGCCCTGTCAGTACTCATTCCTGTCTCTGCAGCGTGTAGTCAAGCTCCACCACGCAGGACAGAAACGACTCAATCGAGTCAAGATACTGCCCAGCAATAGTGTTTATCAGGTTGACAAACTCTGCGCCGTATCTAGTGCCCAGCGTGAGCCAAGCTCCGAGTGACGATCAAGAGGAATGCAGTGCTGATATCGTCTTTTCATGTGGCAATGTCGACGCCGATGCCCACCTTGTCATTGCGAAACATGTCTTCGGTTATCACCATGAATGATGTAACTCTGGACCTGTTTGAAATGAAGATTTCGATCTTGTAATGAAGTTAAGTATGTTGTTACAAAGTTTACAGTAGTGCAGAGTTTGCAATGCGGTTACAGAACTGTTACAAAGGAGTTTACGATGTGCACGTAGTCGTGGAAAGCTTCCGTTAAATGCCGTTTATCTGCTCAAAAGAAGAATGATGCTGTATGTAGAGGTATGGCGCAGCCGTTTACTCTATTGTTGATATGAGTTCACCTTCTTTGAGGTTCAGGAATTAATCAGATCCCAAGTTTTGAATAAACTTTGTTTTTGGGTAGTGTTTAGAGTCTTCATTCGGTTGGAATTATTTTAACATGACTTTGTGTGAAGTTGCACAAAGATAAAGTGAATGGGATTGAATATATATTTGTATAGATTCTTCACGGTTTATATATTGTATCAAATAGCTACTCGTAGAAATATAGACGTAGTTCTCCAAGCATTATTTGATTTTGTTTCTTAAAATGTATTGTTAAATATGTTACAAAGAATTAGTTAGAAAAAATAAGATTGGTACATAAAACTAAAATTATATGTTAAAAAATCTAATTAAATTGTTTTAAGAATATTTGAAACATTTTTTTTGCAGTTTTTCTTAAAACTCTTCATTTGACCATTTTCACCCAAGATAATTTAAATAATTGATTGTTATTTATCCAAATAATATAATAACTTTCAATTATATTTATTTTAGCATAGACAAAACTTTATCTTTATCTTTAATCCTAAGATATGTAGATGTATTTTAAAACAACAATAGAGTTTTGAATTAGGTTTTAAGATATATAGATGTATTTTAAAACAATATTAGAGTTTTGAATTAGGTTTTAACATGATGTATAGATTGTCCATTCTTTTTGTTCAACACCATGTGTGGTATAACTAGTAGTAAGTCGGACTTACAATAGAAGATTTTTCCATAGAAAACAACTCATTGTTTACAAAGATATTATGTATGATTTGTTAAGTTATTAAAGCTTTTGATTCCTAGATGGTCATGAACATGTTGTAAAAATGAATCTAAAATGTAGAAGAGAATTGAATCATATGAATAGGTAATTATATGGTTTAGTTTCTTATGTAGTATTGTTCACTTACATGAATATAAAATAATAGCACTATTATTTGTTGAAAGCACTTTGGACAATTTCTTAGCTTACATAAAAGAAATTTGCAACTTGTAACTAATTAACCATAAAAATAAGCTCCCAAACAAGTAGTTTAACTAGTGCTTAGCTAATTGTTGTGATACTTTCTATTACATGCTTATAAAGTTATAGCTTATCTATACAAACTTGGTAAATCAACATAGTCCTTGCACAAGCTAACTTGTACATCTTGAGAATGAATATAAGTTCCAAAAGACTAAAAAATATATCACTTATTCATTGTTATTAATATATTAATTATGCAAAAAAGTAAGGTTATAAGTTTATAACTTAAGAACAACCTTTATTATAACAAATATTATTGAATAAGAAAGGAATATCAGATACCATATAAATATATATATATATATATATATATATCATTTGATTTATTTATATATTTTTTAAACAATATAGTTTATTTTTGTGGATTTTTTAATTTTGACTTTTTATGCTCTTTTAAGTCATTAGATTTTTTTTGTGAAGATATATATATATATATTTAAATTAATTAAATACATAAAAAATATTATTTAAAATTAAGGAATTATTTTTAAATTATTTAATTACATTTGAATACATAATTATTTTTTTAGTTTTTTAATTTTACAGATCTAAAGTTTTGATTTTTTTTTTTAATGGACGTATTTAATGCTTGAAATTATTAACAAATCAAAAGTTAGTGTATTCTAATAAAAATAACCACAAATATGATATGTAATTTAATTTGAATAATTAAGCTACCATCAACAAACCTTGTTTATATATATATATATATATATATATATATTTACACTACATTAATATGAAACTAATATTTTGTTTACCAGTTAAAAAAAGTTGTAAGGATTAGAGAAATTACTATGTAGAACACATAATATGTATATATATGAAGGGCAAGCATGGGAAAGAACCTTGCCCACTAATTAACAACTATATATATATATATATATACACACACAAACAATCTATCATATGTGTAAGTTCGAATGTTTGTATGGGCTTGTTAGTAAACGCATCTTCCGATGGTGCCGTCCATTGATGGGGACGGCGCTTGCAGGCAAATGACATTGTCAGAGAGAGCCGATGATCTACTTGCAAATGGTGAATTCGAAGATTGTGGAGGAGGGGTTCTGTTCTGCTGAGGCTGCTGCTGCAGCGATGAATCTCTGAGTCATGATGGCAGACTTTTTCGCAGCTCCGAGCACCGTGAATGGGCTGCTGATGCTGCAGCCTGACACCACCCCCACCCCCACCCCACGCATAGGATGTCACTGTTCTCATTTACTGACCTGACAACGCACACGATGTGCTCGACTAGATTCAAACATTGAACCCAGTGAAACAAAATCCAAAGACGCAAAATTATTCCACCATACAACCCTTGCATTCGTACCGGTATCCCCGAAGAGTGTCCATTCGACGTGGACATGGCAGTGATGCAACCCTGAGCAAGCACCGTCTAGAAACCAACTGTTTACTGTACCCACGCAAGTCTCCGATACAACTGCACGCACTTTACCTGCGTTACCAACACGTACTAGTTACATTATCAAGTCTAGGATACTGCGACGGTTGCTTTTGAACACTGATCTAGAGGCTGTTGTCCACAATACCCCGACTGCTGCGCTGGAACTAACGCCTCAACGTCGACACAGCCTCTTCGGGGTTCTAGACAAGAGTGTCTTGGAAGTTGTTGTAATGTGTGGGTAAGGTTGAAACTTGAAGAGGAGATAGTACTCTATTTTCCCACCTGATTCATGGCACCCTCTGATCTTCGACTCACAACCCGCATCGATGGTCAGTTGGTTGTATTGTGCAAAAACTGTGCGTTGGCCATGAAGGAATGGTGATTCTTGTGAGGAAGGAGACCAGGATTTTTGCGATGACTGCAGGCTTTGTGAATAAATTTTGTGTCATGGATCAGTATCTACACAATTAAGCATAGAAAAAAAAGCTTGAAAAAATCTCATTAACATTTTAAATTAGAAGAGGATCTGTAACCAACTATTTAGCAAAAGAAGGTTTAATTTTGTCATTTGAAAAGTTAAAGACAATCCAATCAAAATTTTGCAAAATATTCCATCCTGTATTTTCCAACTATTTTTTCTAATTTATTAGTAAAAAGACGTCAATTGTGTGGAAGTTTACTAATCTCTTGTAACACCAAATCAAGTGTCATTTCTCAATCCCATTTTCTTCTTCTACGCCACGGTTTTCAAATCCTTTGATCGGCTAAAATTATGAAGCTTATTCATTTCAACCAATTACAAGATTTAAAGTTTGTTGTTTCTCACCTTATTGGTAGACTCTGGACTAGTGTGAACAGGTTGTAAGACTCATTACTAACCTTTAATCATTCTTTTGATTTGAAAAGATATAATTAAGTTTAAATTATTCTTTTGATATGCTCACTCACACTCACGTGTATGGTGCAAAATTCCATGGAAGGCTCGCATGTGTCTTGGATTGTCCACAATCTTTTGAGGCTTCGGGATCCGGAGCAACAGAAAAGAGGCAGCAGCCTCCATCTTCATGAAATCACAGATCTGAAGCGTGTAAGCCCCACCTGCACACCTCGAGGCACCTCGGATCCCTGCCTGTTGGCTTACTTTATTCACTTTTGTTTCGGTTTTTTTAATGAAACTTAAAACATTGATTCGACTTCCGATCTGGACTGGAGAATTGCCAGTTCATTGATAATTGGTCACCGAAAAGCTCCGCGCTTTAGACTAGTGGAAATTCTTAACTTGGTTGGGAGTGACTTAAACAGCCGTTCTTGGGGGTGTTGGTAAGTGGGTGGGAGGAATTCAGAAACTATTGAGCTGTGTAGGTTGGGAAAAGCTGAATCACTGGAGTATTTTATATGTACTGGTTGCTCTGTGGGACTGGAGTTCCAGCAAACCTGGCACATAGATACTGAATGGAGACTGTCAAAATTGGCACATTGTTCAACGTGTTTTGCACCGTGTACCAGCCAACTTTAATGAAATTTACTGGGGTGTTCTGAAGTAATGAAGCCTAGTACACCAGTGTAATGGAATTCGGCAAGATGGGTGATCTTTCTCCACGATTTTCCGTTTGTTGGATGCAATGTGCGTATTCAACACACTTGCATTCAATGTATTGCAGAGCTAATACTAATTTATTGGAGTTCATGGATTGGGTCTCATAGAGAATTGGGTGGCAGGAAAATTCTCTTTAGGAAAACCAATCTGTCTATTAAAAATATAGAACTGGTGCGGCATGATTAATTTTAAATTGCAGTTAGGGGAATTCCTTCCTTCGCTCCCCAGTGTAACTGCTTTGTCTAACCTTGCCAAATCTCAAACAACGTCGCTGATTACAGCAAGATAATACAAATGATTCAGATGAAGTGGGATATACGCCCTTGTGAATCGTTCTTTGTGGCTACATGCCAGTTAAGAGACCTTAAATAGATTGCTAAATAAGGAGATAAATTGGAGACAAAGAAGTTAACTGTAACATTGCTTTAACATTCTTACTGATCACCTTCGAAAGAACAGCACTTGTACAATGGGAATTTTCAATCCGTTGCTGATGCTTTTCAAATGTAGGATCCTGTGAAACTTATTTTACTCACCAATACAAGATGGTCTGAACCCGTTGTGGATTTGCTCAAATTAAAATTAGAGCTGCTTCGTGAACGGTTGTACTCATGGCTTCATCAATTGGTGACAGAGTAATAGCAGGGTCGAATGGAAGATAACGACTTCCGGCTGACGCTCCCAAGCCAATTCTTCTAATTGATCTTGTGATAGCAACTTCGTAAGATTCTGGTCCCGCTTCTAAAGTGATATTGTGCATGGGGGTTACAACATACAACTAAGCTATCTCCAGTTTAACTCCGCCCCTATGCACATTTTTCGGACGGCCTTAAGGTCGTTATAGTGGCTTGTTTGATCAAACAACTCGATTTCATAAACCTTAGGCCATAGTTTACCAGTAACTGCAATAAAGCACATACAAAAACAATTTAGCTATAATTTCAGAATGAATGTGTGCATCTGAACGTAGCAATAAACCTGCTCAAATGTGAGGAAGATAATACCACAACTTAAGGGCAACTTTTCTTAATTATTTATTACCGAATCAACCCGTGCTCAAGATACAGCACAGTTGAATCCTAACCGACAACAGAAATGCATGAAAGGTGTAACAAGTTGAATATAGATGAATATAATAGTTCAGTTGTGGGTTCACACCAAACAGCCTGTCTCGTTCACTGTCCCAAGCAATTCCATTCAGCACATCTAGTCCCTGGTGTTGGAAAATGCAAACCGCATGTCAGGAAATAACGATCGACGAAAAACAATAGATACAGGAGCAAGGTAACTTAATTTTTGAATGCAGGTGAGTAGAAACATCCTTCCCAAGATCTGTGTGATTTGTGTGATTGGTGCACGTCAGTGCAAACCTCTTACATTTGGGTGTGACCTCAAGCTACAAACAAACAATGCAGGCTATGAAGAAGTGGTCATGACCGAATCACATAAAACTACTCTAGAATTTCGCAGTTTCCAACTACTTCATTCTAACTTGAGCAATGACATTAATGAAAATGCTCTGGGAAAAAGTTCCAAGCACGATGAAAGGTTCACAGGAATAATCACTTACCACCACTCCTTGAGTTATTAGAGCACTCCTGGAATGTTTTGAGGAATGAGTTAGCTCTCAATACAAAGAATTTATACAAATTATCCAACACGAGGTGATCACTATGTAAAGAAAATGAGTAAAAAGCATCAAGCAAAGCTTGTCAAATGATGCTAATAGTGATGAATCATCAATCTTTCCTGGCATCACTCATTTTGTTAAGGCAACTTACTTCAAGCCATGCATAAGAATCCAGCCGTTAACTTTCCCATCCTGCGGTGCAATTCTTGCGATACACTCTGTCTGGAATCCATAAAGCAAAACCAAGAAGAAACAAATTAAACTTCACCCTAAAGAAAAGTGCACAAAATGTGCACAGTCTACTAGTTGTAAACAATGGATTCCAGGGAATTTCTAAATGAACTCATCAAACAACCCGTGTTTACGATTATATGAGAGAAAAATAATAATGAAGGTCTCTGTTAACTTCCGAAACTTGGCCCTTCACAAGTCTTAAGAGAATATCAATACTAAGATAACTGCTCATGAGGCTGAATTTAGTCCACGATCTCTCAACACGCCTAAAGCATCCTCGGACAGATTTCTAACCAAGTGACTGCTACCTGCAAGCCACAACAGCACAATATGATAATGAAGTCGGATAAGGGTTTAAGCTGAAAGCACCTGGAAGACATTCGCCCAGATCTCATCCTTAACGTACTCCAACTCATTTAGGTTAGGGACAGGCTGGCCGTCATCGTTGACTAATACCTTCCTGGTCTCTGTAAATATCCAACGCGGGACCTATTAGCGCATTGCAGATACTTGAAAACTCCAACCAAGAATCAGTGTTCAGGTTTCATCACAAGATAATAAACCCCAAATAGGGTATACCTTTAAAATTCGAGGGATCCATAAAGTAAATGTTGGCACTACCATCACTGCCAACTATGTGATCCTTTCCTGAAGTGAGACCCCATCCGTCTTTCATGGGATGCTCGAAGCTGCCTACCTGAAAAGTGAACAAATATGCGCTCAAATTGTGCAGGAGATCTGACTAATGTGTGCTACCTACTGGAAGCTAAAAGTTGATTTCAGTTATATGAAACATGCCAGTAAGAGCCTCTTGCCAAGGGCCCATTAAGGAGATCATGAAGTTTGTAAATTGTCAGAGGAAGGAGGAAAAATTCACCAGTTTGAGAGTATTCTTGTCATAAATATATCCCTTTTTTGTCAGCCAAGTTACTTGCAACAACCTGCACAACTGGAGCTTATTAATACGAATAAAAACAAACTGGATTCTTAGGTACTCGTTTTCCCAAATGAAAGGCATAGTTCTTGTTAAAGTACAATAAAGATAAATTTAACCTGTTTCGAATAACACAATGTCATTCAGGACTTCAAATTGTTACCCAACGAAATTTCTTACATTTCAAAAATAAATAAATAAAATACATAAAACTAAAATTTAATGCGCACGCACACTCAAATCAAGGTAGTCAGAAAAAACAACAAAAGGCGTTTTGTTGCAAGAAATTTGGCAGAATAATCTGCAGGTTGATGTAAGGCTTCGATCACCATTTGTTCGACATATTCTATTTTGTAACTTGACGCCAAACAAGAATTTCAGCAGTACTTCACTTTCTTCAATACCAAACTTTGGCGCACTTTCTCAATTACTTCACGACCAAGACCTCATCACTACACGAGTGCATCGCCATGAACACGATTCGAGAAATAAGCTACCGCTGAAATCCGAAACTCTAAGACTTTTAGAGAAGTAACTATGAGACAACCCACCTTGAACCCCAAAGGGTCAACCCTTCCCCGAATATAGTCCGGTCCATTCCTCGTTTTCGCAGCACCTGTTTTCACCTCGACTCGCAGATTATTAATGTTCACATTTACAATTTCCTCAAGCTACTGGACAGGGAAAAAACCATGAATTGCAAACTAGCATGTAGTAGCCAACACTAGTGCACCGCACAAGGCAAACTATTGATTACCTTCCCCGTCTTGATGTCCACCTTGCGTACAGAAGACTGGCAAAACAAAAACATTTCTGTTCATTAACCATGGATCAAAGACTTACTTGCACGGACAGAATTTATCCCACGACGTAAACAAACCACGCCTCGTGTATTCAAGCTTGAAGTCAAAAGATCTTACAATTTATGATCTTCGCATACGAAAGCGCACTGGACTTTGATTCATAGAAGCATTTCTTTGTTTTAAACAACATAGCCAAAACTTCAGTAATAAAGTAACAGCATGAAATGCACACAAAGGCTATGAGGATTTGATATTCGTGATCAGGAAGACAACCTCACCCTGCCATAAAGACCGGTTGACTCATAAAATGTGTCATTTCCATCGTAAAATAGTCCCTGCCAAACATACATTGCATTGTTTAGAGGTAAGCACTGACGATTAACCAATTGTATCAGTACCCCATGACGAGTGAATAGGGTGCGAAAGCTTGGTAGTGATACAATGTCTAGGTTACTAGCTTGCAGTCAAGTTCTCTGCAGAATTACCCAAGTGTTCGGCATTGTCTCCTACACGCTGATTGACATTCATGTCACGTTCGTTTTCAATGAAAGCTACGTCTCGATATTTTTGAACCGAACAATCTTTCTGGGCGGAAAACAAAATCACAAAAGTCTACATTTTTCCCTTCTAATGTATGCGTTAGTTGATTTCAGAAGGGCTTAAATTATACTGCGTTCGTCCTGATCTGCTTCATTTTGAGAGGATAGAGTAAGGAGACACTGCAGATGGTTAAATTTTCGCATCATCACATGCGCATCAACGGTATTCATTGAGGAAGAAATGCTTACAAACCTGAGTGAATGCGGCCGGATCATGAGGATACTCGGCAACGATCTTGTATCCATATACGCGATACTCTTGCCCTGTGCGAGAAGGCACACTGCGACTCCAGCTATAGCCAAGAAAAATAAAGACTCCAACCAACAGAATGAGCGAAATCATTGCGGAATCACGCCACACCTTAGCATTCCGACCGTCTGCTCGGAAAAACCCAGACCCAGTTTTTCCCTTCGACCTAACCATCGCTTCAGCGGCGGCAGATTGACCGGCAAAATTCCTCTTCCTTCTATTCCGATGATCTGCTCCCATAGAAAGCAGCTAAACGAGAATCTTTGTTGGATTCCTCCAATCTGTGCGTTTTACTTGCTCGCCATATCCAATCTACAAATGCTTCAGTTAGGTCTTAACTCTAGCAGGATTTCCTCAAACTGGGATACCAAAGACGATTCTAATACCACAGTTTCGTCCTACTCCGTTAATCAAAACAGCTTTATAAGTTCCTCCACCTCAACTACCTGATATACATTGCGAGCTTTTGAGAAGAATAGTCATCAACTCTCACCGTCACCCCTAGAATCAAAATAAACTGACGAGGACATATACCAACGCAAGCTCCTTGCTACACAATGGACTTGAACAGTAAATTTACATCTTCTACAAACCCTAAGCAACATCAGCATGTTAATATTAGGTGGGGTGTTGAGTGCTCGCACTAACGACACGACGCAGTAAGACCTTTGCAGCTCTGATGCATCATCAAATCAACACACGAGATGCGTGCTCATGTTCGAACAAAATAATACAATGTATCTGCACACGATGAACAAGAGCTCTGCAATAAAGCACAAGCGCTAGCATATGGGATTGCATCTAAACGTCAACTGGGTACAAAAAACGTCAACAGACAACCTTAGTAGCAGGACTTTCTGGTTTGGACAAAGACAGAACCCAAGTCCATTATGAGGCATAACGATTCAACGCTTTCCTGCACACATCTGCAGTCACGTTCTGTAGCACTGATAACCAATTCACGATTTCTACATGAACAAACATCTGTTCACAAAAATGTTTGACTGGGATCACCCGAACATAAGTTTGGAACCCAAAAAGGAACCCGTCAGCATTGGCTCCCAAGCTCCGTCACTCGGCAATTAAGAGACGTTTAGATCGACAGGGACGGTCGATTCTACCGACTCCCGATGGAGGTCGACGATAAGATGGGATAGTTCGGTCAGGTGGCAGCAGGAATCTGGAGCATAAGCATTTCATGCGCCCGGGTACCTACCCAACTGTCCAGATTGAGACCAGTGGATTGTCGATCGTCAAGCATCTGAGCATGCGGTAGACGGAGACGGTTGCACCTTCTTCGCCCAGGAGAAGTCAGTGATGCAGCGTGCCACATTGACTAAGAGTATCTCTGGTGCATCACTTGTACTTCTAAAAACAAATAGCTTGGATTTTCTTCACTATATGGATGTTCGAATCTCAACGTAAGCCCATGACTCACTGCGTGCTTGGCTTATCGACTTTAAAAGAGAATAGTTTTCTGTTTGAAGAATGAAATTTTAATAAACTGAAGAGCTCTGAGCCTCTAGGCTCACGGACTGGAAGTATGATATGTTTACACAGCACGTTCAAGATGTTTCAGAATCGCTCCGTAACGACTTTGCCAAGTTCTACAGGTTTGAAAGGTGAGACGAGGTGGACTTCTTGTTATGAGAAGCTTGAACTTGAGGGAAATAAAATACGAGTAGAGTTTTTTTGTTCAATATGCAATTTTCCTCATAGAAAACATGCCCAGACAACATTGATCTAATTAACAGTTTGAGATGAATTAAATACAAATATTGATTTGGAGATATAGTCAAACGCTTTAAGCAAGAATGTTCGCTTACCATCAGCAGCTCAGGGCTTAGCCAAAGTTGTAGAGCATCCATTCTCTGCCCAGTGTGCAACATGGATGCCACAGGTAAGAATCTCAAAAACTTTGACAAAGGAGATGAATGCAATTGTTAAAACCAAAGAAGTCGACTGAAGATCCTACACACAATGGTACAACGTTAGACAAGCCATTAAAGTAGAATGGAGAATCATGCTCCTGGCACGTTAAAACCTGGTAAAAACAAAGCAAGCGACTTTTCCTGCGAATCAGGACAATCGAAAAGGGAATTGATAAATGTTCGAGGTCAAGTAAAATTCACTTTGCATGCTCCGTATTCTGCAAACACTACAGAGAGCCTAAATAAAGCGTTATGAGACTTTTAATGGTAAACACGAAGTTGGATCAATGTGATGTGGTGTTCAGAGAAGAAAAAACTGTATTACGAACTGCAGATGAGGATTTTAGCAATTACGTGCAAACATCAAAAATCACGTAAAACTAATACGATACAATAAGGATTCAATGGCACGAAACGAACGGCTCATCTAGAACTTAACGTCCGACATGCCGGATCACTAACGTCCGATTGGGGGAGGAGATACTGAATAGTCTCTTTCTCTCCCTCTTTTGCTGATGGCTGCAGGTAGCAGTGGTAGTGAGATGTACCTCTAGTAACACGGAAGAAAGTAGTCAAAAGCCACAGAAAGAGACAACACGCACAACTCATTTGACCAATTTTCAGATGTATTCATGCGAGAGAAAAAAAAATGGATCGTGTACAAGGACGTTAAGGCCACTAAAGTCCCAAAAGAGCCAACCTACGTCTGCTGTTACTTCTACACAGATGAAAGTATGTCTGAAAGTATCACCCACAGAGGTTAGAAGCTGGCTTCTAGTGTACAACTGCAAATAAAAGTGTTCACGCAGGACCACTTCATGCTAGTAAGTTATTTCTTCTTGTCATCTGAAACTGGTCAATCCTTCCAAAGCTTTTCAGCACCTCCTTCAGTAGCCAATCATTGGCATCGGACTCTTCCCAACGACGTGAATGACTGATTAAATTTCCAAAATTATTTTGGAGGTACCATACCTTAGCATAATAAAAGTCTCTTGCAACTTACCATAAACACTCATCTGTGTAAGCTGGTAACAGTGAAACATACATGGAAGAACGACTCTTGTGCGATGGTTGAGTCTTCTTCGATCTAATGCTTTCTGCCATTACATCAGGAACAATACTAACGAGGACCTCCTCAGCAAACACCTCACACAGGGACTAACTCCGAGCAGGGCCTGGAAGTAGTATAGTGAAATTCAACCTGCAACCGCTGATGTAAAGGAACGTTCTCAAGTAGACCCTTCTTGATATCACTTTGAAGCTCACGTAGAGGCAGAGCAGCAAAAAAGTCTTTGATAAACTGACAGCACGATGATCTTCCACCATTGAATGATTTAGCCGAAACGACTAGCTCCATGGGAGTTTCGCTGCTTAAAGCAACAGTATCAGGTGAGGAAATTGTTTCACTGCCGGATCCTACTTTCACTGATGCCAAAGAATCAGACACCTCTGCAGCAGTCTCTTCTGATTGAACTGCAACCTTGGAATCTTCGGACTTCGGAGTTGGCGCAGGACTAAGAGTAGTCTCTGCATCAAACTGCAGAATATAGGCCTCCTCACCCCCTTCTTGGAGCCTCTCTCCTAAAGTGTCAATTATGTAGCATCTGTCTTCTTCTAATTTGAGGACAAAGAAGTGGTCATTCCAGCTCACAATGTAAATAGCTGGTCCTGCTCGCTCAACCTCAGCCCAGATGCTATCAAACGACATCACATCTTGCAAGAATTCCAAGGACTCGTGAGTTACACCTTCGGGGACGAAAAACCCAACGAAAGACTTCTCAGGCACCACACTGAGGGGTCGTACTGCTGCTTCGAGGACAGTTTCCAAATCAAAGTGCCTGTCTGCAAATCTATTTATGAACGCTTCCACAGTGCATAAATTTCTCCACTCAGCAGAACCTTCCCGAATAAGCATGTCAAATTCAGCTTTGCTGGGAACAAGACTAGGGTGCTTGTGTAGCCAGTCCGCTATCACCGCCACAAGAGCAGTGCAGGCACTCTCCCCAGCTGCACTTTCACTACGCTGATCGAAGGAAGCAAAGAACACCTTTGTCGAAAGCTGTGTCCGTCCATCCCTGCTAATAAGATCCTTCTGCTCCCATGTTCCGACAGCAAAAAGCGTTTCTCCAAAGTCAAGTGCTCCGGCGACGAGTGCCAGGCTATCCTCGCTCTTTCGACGCTAATCAAGACAAGAAAAAGGGAGTGAGCGATAAAGCCAGGGGCGACATGTTCAAATAAAGTGTTGCATGAATAAACAACGATTTAACGTTCAAGCAAAATAAATTGATAACCATGTTCAGTGATTATAAGCTAAACAAACCGGGTCTGTTTGTTAAAATTCAGCAAGATGCTCCGCATATTACTTCACTTGAAACATATGCAACGATAGAGATTTGAAAGTGTCAGCGTAACACAAATTCCATGAAAAGAAAAATATATATATGAAGCAGGCCCTCACTGTAATATCTGGAAATTCTGAAGATGACTCTGCCTGCCGTCGATGCCAGTCAATCTCATCTCCACCTTCCTCCCCGTAAGCTTTATTCAGTAATGGCTCCCCACGAGACCGAGGCGACCTGAAACTCAACTTTCTCTTACGCCAAGAAAGCATGCTCATTAAGGAACCTTGAGACGCAATCTCCGCAGTCTCGGACGTTGAAACCTCCTCAGGCGCCGCATTCACTTTAGGAACTGCCATGAAAGCAGCTCGACTATAGATAGTGTCGCGACCTTCAATTTCATCAGTTGCAGTATTGGCAGCTTCATCCGCATGGTGAGGCAGCGCACCCTCAACCACCAGGTTAACACCAGTTAGTGTTCCATAACTGACAAACTGCCCAATGTTAGCTGTTTCAATTTCCTCGCCATACTCCTCCACTTCAGAATCATCAACCCAATCCGAGTCAAAAAGATCCAAAGCGTCCTGTACGCTTCCATCGCTGCGAGGGGAAAACTTTCCACCATCACTTGGATCGACATCCTCAAGTTGGAGGTTTTTCTTAGATTTCAGACCCAAGACTTGTTCCTTAGATAATTCCTTCGAGGATTTCTTTTTTTTCTCCACATCCGGATGAACCTTCACCACATCATCATCCTCTGGATCCCAATTATAAGGGGCTCCTCCAATACACGCCATCGCAGGTCCCATCAACCTGTGTACGCTCTCAAAACCAGCCTCATACACTGTTCGCAACTCTGAAAAGCTGTAGGTGACCTGCAATTCGCAAGAATCGCATCTTAATTTTGGAGATATAAGAAAAAAAATCGACTAAACTGACAAATGAGAGAAGAATAGCGAGTCAATAGTTCAACCTTGTGCATATTGTTGCAATCCTAGAGCCTAATGAGGATGTGTAGGAAATGATTCTGAAGGAATGCGCATTTAGATACTACTACGCCAAAAGATATCGATGAACTGAGTTGGATGCAGAACAGTTTTGAAATCAATACCCGAAAGGAGGCTTCAGAGTAACAATCCCCGCTTTTGGATGTCACAGGTAAAACTGTGTAATTGTTGGAACAGGTCCCGGAAAAAGCCAAAGCCCCCAGATCTAGAACTGCAGTACCCAACACAGAGACTTTGCCTTTGGAGTTATCCGCCAATGCCTGCACAATCGGAACCCGCAAATGCAAATTAACTCGTAAACGACTAATTAATATACTTCACGGCAAAGTACGGGGCGGGTAACCCCTAGCGCATCATACACTAGAAAGAGAGCGTAATCAACACAATTGAACACAACCAAAAGCTTTGAAATAATGTCCCAAAGTTAAAACTAGACGATCTGTTACCATATAATATCTTACCTTACAGAGAACCAGATACACATGCCACGGTTGAAAAACACCATCTTTGTCGTTAGTAAGTACACAGACGTGTTCAAACTCTTGGTCCCATGTTACATCTCCACTGTTCTCCACGCGCAAAGCATTGGTCTTCTCCCGCTTCATAGTTCGAAATCGGGATCCAAGAGCACTCTTTGGTCCCTTCCATTTCAAGTCGACGTACACTTTGGCTTCATCAGAATCGCTAGTAGGTAACCCTTCCAGCGTGTTCAATACAAGATTGACTTGATATTTCTTGGAGAAAAGTTGGCGGAGTGGCCACTTCATCACCTTAATAACCATGGTTACGATTTCAAAGGAACGATCACAGTCAACTTGTATCCCGCTTCAGGTTCCAAAAGCTTCACAAAGCGATCGCAAACTACCTGCATTGAAAGAAAGCTTTTAAGGTCCGTGCTCACAGGTTCACTGTGTCACACCTTCCGTTTATCTCTTACTGATAAGCTGAGGACAATCCATAATCCTTCACTAAGCGTAAATTCACCAGTCCAAATTCGTCTTTCACGACAAAAATTTAAAATATGAGCGAAATCGTGCTTCATGTACCAAAAGTGATCAATACACTTCTAAAGGTGCTGAATAAGCACCGAAAATTCACCGAAAAAAGCACCGACTGAAAATGAATGAAAAAGGCTAATTACTAGCTCATGACATTATTCTGATATTCACATGCAACATTTGTCGCGTGCGTAATTACCAACCTAGCGTAATGCCGCGTTCGCACTCAGAAGAACTCTTCAGCACTCTTAATTCAAGAACCGCCACTTGCATACTGAGCATTAACACATCATACCAGGAGGACGCTCTTAATCCACTTAACTAGCTATCGAGGTTACATAACCACATGAACCTCTGAACATCGAACACTGCGTCATCAAGAAAGGGATATTCTCCTACTTCAATCCCGCAATCGAAGCCTATTGCATGAAGAACCTAGTCCCCTGCCTTCCGTTGCACCCACGCCTACAGCACGCAAGTAATTTCGGGTGCTAAATGTTTCGCTTCACTACCTCTCTTCGACCAATTAAGACTACGCATGTTTAATTGCAAACTTACTTGATTATCAGGCGCGCAGACAAGATTATGCCTCCGGTGCAATGCAGGATAAAACCCCGGGCCTCGGCTACTAACCCTCAATCAACAGCAACGCAGACTTTAGAGTTCAACTCCTCCTGTTTCTTTGACCAAAAAGTAACCACGAACCTCTTCAACGATGACAATAAAGGTCTACAAAATTCGCAAATAGCCAATGCTTCGACGTGTCCACTTTTCGCTCATAGTCAGCCAATACACTGCCATAATATTTCAAAAAAACAGTGATATTCCAACTCTAACCTCGATCGTCCAACGCCAGGATGCTCAAATACGGACCCTTCAATCTCTATTAATATGGCCACAACACGGAACTGTCACCTCTCCTAAATCAACCTGCATCATCGCGCTGTTCTTCCACTTCACTCTTCATAATCCCGCTTCCCTGTTCCCCTGTGCTACCACACCAGCCCGTCCTCCCCCTAACCGATGTCTACTCTTAAGCAGAAACCTGTCACCGCAGCCCGAGTAATCACCGAGCCCGTTCGCGGCACCTAAAATATACTCCTGAACACCTCCAAGCCTCCAAAAGGTCGGAATGCGACCGCAACGAACAAACCCCCGATCTACGTACACTGCTCTCGGACGACGCCAACCTCACCCACCACCACGGAGCAAGAAATGCTACACATTCCCCGCGAGACCGCTCCCATATGCTGCGGCTACTGCCGCGTGGGAAACCCCCGAGGGTGTAAGAGACACCGCCTGACAGCTTCGAAAGAGAAAGCGGGGGGGAGGAAGAGGGGGGGTCCTCCAAAGAAAAGCTCCCTACACCTCACCCACCACTACTACTACCACCACCACCATCATCATCACTATCACCACCGCGTCGCCGAATAACGCAAATAAAGCCTGCCTGTCCTCCATCGCTGTTGGATGTAAGTAGAGCCCTGCCTTAAGAGAGAAAGAGAGAGAGGTGGAAATGTGTTCGTCTTCTTCTTCTTGTCTATTCTCTTCGACGTTTCCACTCCGTGCTGCTGCTGCGAAGCCTGTTGGATTCAACTCTCATCCCCTTACGCTCGCTGCTTCTGCTTTCTGACGGGGGCTTGATATGCTTTTACGTGCCACATGAAGACGGGACTATGGCGCCACACCGACTTAGCTAGCACCGGGTCGGATCAGGTCGGGTTGGGTCGGGTCGGGTCGGATGAGATCGGGTCCGGCCAAGTCGGGCCGGGCCGGGTTGGGTGGGGCTGGGCCGGGCCAGGCTGGGCAAGGCTGTGCTGAGCTGAGCTTTAGGCGATAGTGCAGGAGGAGCCAAGCAGTGCGACAATGGGCGAAGTAAGTGAGTGAGTGAGTGAATCAGATTTTGCAAGTTACGGGCATCTCCTCCTCCTCCTCCGGGGCCGCAGCCTCGTATTCGGGAAGGAGGGGGGTTGCAGGGATGATGAGGATACAGGGCATGAGTGGGGGGAAATAGACACACATTAGTAGAGGCCTGGTGGTGGAGATAACGAGGTGAAGGAAAAGAAGAAGAAGCAGAAAGAAAAGGAAGAAGACCTCTTTTACTGAGAAGAAGAAGCCTAGTGCAAGAGAGCTACTACTGGAGAGTGGTAAGGTGATGGTTTGTAGGGGGTGGCGGTGGTGGTGGCTGCGGCGACCGCCTTTTAAACATTTGGTCCCCTTTGCTGTGTACCTACCTCTTGTTCGTGTGCATGTTTTGTCTTTTTCTTTTTTCCTTTTCTTCTGTCCCCTTTTTTCTTTTTCTTTTCCTTGGATTTTTTTTTTGGGGGGGGTGTGCATGCGGATGTTTTGCATCACAAAACATGTGACGTGAGTCATGCACACACCCATCATCAAACATGAAAATGGGTTGTGCATTTGGACAAACAAACAAACAAACAATGGAACAAACTTGCACCAAATTGGACACCTTTGTTGGTTCCCATCATAGTGGTTGTGTTTAACTAAAGGTATTTTCAGTTTCATTTTGAATGTATTACCAGTATTTTGTTCTTGAAACACATTGTGTGCCAACTAGTTAGAAGTTTGAACAAAACTATTCATGTTTTTCATTGGACTACAATTATGAGTTGTGAATATATTAAACCTACAATACATAATTTGGAAGCTTGGTTTTTAAGCCTACTGTAGAAATTTCAAAGATTTGTGCATTAAGAAAAATAACAATAAGAGTATTCACTGGAATCATGGAAGATTTTATATACATATGTATAGACACACCTACGATTGAGTTAATTATTTTTACAAAAGAATAAATTTTACAACAAAAAATTCTGCAACTAAAGTACAAAGTTGCATTTATGCACATAAATACGGTAAATCAATTGAAACTATCTTTAGATTCTCATTACACTTGCTTCATTCAATAGAGTAAAAGTCACAATATATAAACTTAAAAGAAACCATTTGGAAGCTTATTATGCACATATAAATACATTGACATCAAAAATACAAAATATAAAAACACACACACACATATGCACATACAAACTTATACAACACTCTCTTTAGAGTTTTGTGGCCAGAATCCTGCACCCCCCCTCCATTGCGTTCATCTTTCATTTCTTTGTCTTTTCTTTTACTTCTGTACGTGATGTGCCCATTATGGTGTTAGAAGCCCAATGTGATCAAATGCTTGCTTGTTTGCAAGCTTTGGTGAAGGTGAGGTCAGGAAGGAGCCATTTGGGCAGAGAGTGGACTCTTCTATTGGGAAAGTCAATGAAAAATAAATAAAAATAAGAACAAAATAATTAAAAGGGACAGCCTGCTTAAGATGGGAGCATCTTCTAGACACAGCAAGATAAGCCTCCCTTTTCTTAACTTTTATTGACTCTCTATTTAATGATTCTCATCTCGCATAAATTTAGTTGGTTTGTGTGTTTTCTTCTTCTTCTTCTTCTTGGGGCAAGAGGGCTTTGATGTGCTCGAGAGGACAGGAACTGTGTGACTTCATTAGAAGAGATATATATCATTTTTTCAGGAAACATATTACTTTTGCAATGATTGTTGCATGTGGGTGGTTTACTGCATATCTCCTAACTCTGTCCAAAATGTCCATTCATTATTTCACACTAATTTATTTATACATGTGTTTTGGTTTTTGTTAAAATTGATAATTTTTATTTTATTTTATATTTTCACTGCTTAATTGTTTTTTTTTTTTTTTTTTTTTTTGGAGAAATATCATACATACCCCTCAAATATGTTGAAGTGCAAAGAATACCCATGTATTCTTGATTATAGACAATATACTCCTCACTTTTGTGATAATTGCAAAACTTGATAAGGTATAATCTTATTTCCATTTTAGGTGAATTTGAAGGCCCACACCACATATTGTGCACATTTTCGCACAACACTTTTCAGCATAAGTTGAGCCTTCCACAATTTGGATGCCAATGCTACTATTGTTACCTTCACTGCTATTGCCATTGCCATGTCTACTTCATTACTTATGCTTAGCTTTATTGATGGCATCAACACTGTACCACTTGGAAGATCAAGCTTGGACTTGATAACCTATGAGCCTCCAAATACTAAATCCATTTTCCATCTTTAGTTATTTATATATATTTTGGTGTTAGTCCTCAAACGCAATAGTATTATTCTTGGATCTTCACAATGCCATGAAGGTGCCAAAGACAAGAAGTCAATGAAGATACATAAACAAGTGAAAAATGAATCAAAGAGAGATGACAAACTAGAAGTAAGAAAGTAAATATATTCAATAAAAAATTGGAATGGCTATTGCCAAAGGCTAGAAAATTAGAGACTCTTGAAACTAGACGAGAAGCAAGAAAGGAGTTGATGAGAGTGAAAAAGGCTTCACTCTTGCCTCTATATATACTATCTATTTAAGAGTCACATGACAACGTTTTACAGGACCTCCATCATCTATTCAATTTGTGAAACATATGTCTTAACTTACAAAGCAAGTTTCTTATATGTGCACCACATTTTCAGCTTGTAACACAAGCTACTAATATAAGTGATATGAGACTAATTTGTTGATCAAGTTTCTTACCTATTAATCACCTATAGACATGTTTAAAGGTGAAAATCGCATCTATGAAGCTTCTACATAGCTTTTCCACAAGATATTACTAAATTATCCTACTTTTATCTACTTCTATCTATTCATATTATCTTGGTAACTATAGATATGTCTGTGATTGCAAATACACCTCATGGTTTATAGTGACAAGCTTGTTTAGCTATTTTAGGATTTGTATATTGTATAGTTTGTATAGGTTCATATAAAATTATTTATTTCTATGGTTAATCAATAATATGTGGTCTATGTTGCAATGCTACAAAATCTTCATACTTAATTGTTATAATCAAGGAAAGTATAGAAAGAATGACAACTTTTAAGATCATATATTTTTTTTTTATCAAAATATTTATAACTATATTCTCAAAATACAAAAGTTACACTTAATTTGTAAATGTATGCAGATACAATGGTGATGTCAATATAAAAGCCAATATCAATATTGGTGGGAATAATAACTTATCACAACATATTTTGCAGCAACTAAATAAACATCAATATCCAAGTTCAATTACTTTAAATCAAGGACAAGCTTCTCCAAATGAAAGCCAAACCCTTCCAAATGCTTAAATTTTTTTATCTTACTACAATTTAAATCCACTCATATATGCAAGTGAGAAGGTGGAAATAATACTCTTGCCTTTGAGAATTAATATCAAAACAATTATAACGAATTGAGGATGGAAAATAGATCCAATATATGGAAGCTCATAGGTTTTCAAACTTGGACTTGATTATCTAGGTGACAAAGTATTAATGCCATCAATAGAGCTAGATATAAGTCACAAATGGGACACAGCAATGATGAGAGTAGTAGTAATAGTGCCAATGTCTGATTTGTAGAAGGGCCAACTTGTGCAAAAAAATGTCATGCCAAAACATATGTTGCATGTAGTTTGGACTCTAAATTCACTTAAAATGTGAATAAGATTATATCTTATTAAGCTCAAGGGTAGATTTGCAATTATCACAAAAGTAAGGGATATATTTGCTATTATCAAGAATACATGAATATTCTTGATAGTTTAACATATTTCAAGACTATATATATATATATATATATTAACTCTCTAGATTTAGTGCTCTATAGCTTGTCTCATGGATGAACATTTGGAATGGCTCTATGATTACTATCTTCAATGTCAAATTTTGAATGAATATTGCATCTATATATATATATATATATATATTTGTGTGTTATCATGTAAACTCACACCTAAAACTCTTGAAGCATAATCTTCCCAACTTTGAATAGTGAGAGCACTATAACTTGTATTATCATACAATATTTTGCAAGCATGCCAAGAATACAAATGATTTTTTAGTTTTGTAATCTGGGTTGTTGATTTGAATGCATCATTCAAACAAATTACATCTAAAACATGAATAGTATTTGGATGTGATAGTTAAACTTTACTTACTTATATTTTTATTTATATTTGTGGTTTTTCACTCAAAGTAATCTATTGTACTATCTTCCCTAAATATGATCTCCTTTTTTCTCTGGAAATGGAAGATTGGATATCCTCACAGAGCAATTTGAAAGTACTATTTGTTATCCTTTGAAAGTACTTTTTGTTGCATAGCAAATTTGCTTTGGTAACATTATTTTCTATATATCCTGGATAAAAAAAAAAGGGTCAATTCACACCAGGTGTGTAAGATCACATTCTGCACATTTTTAATCAATATTCAAGCTATTCTCACACTTTCAACAAAGGGAATGTTAACCAGAGGATACATGCAAGGATTCCATTTTTATTCATATTTATTTCTCTAATTTATTCTAATTATTTTTATAAAAAAAAAATGCATCTTTGGTTGCAAGAGGTCAAGGCATGGGATAAAATCACTTTGGAGTTGGTGCACCTGGGCCTACTCCATGTGCAAGCGGCATGGAAAAGAAGAAAAGGATGTACAACAAACCAAAAGAATAAAGAATGGGGTGATGAGAAATAAAGAACAAAATCAAGGAAATGGGAAGGAAAAGGAAGAAGAGCACCACCAAATAGCTTTTTATTTCTTCTTCCTCTTCTTCTTCTCCTCCACCAAGTGATATGAAGAATGGGTTTAGGATTAGGGTTTGGTGGTCTGCATTGTCCACCTTCAA